GTTACATAGACTTATTTAAGCCCATTGTTACATAGACTTATTTAAGCCCATTGTTACATAGACTTATTTAAGCCCATTGTTACATAAACTTATTTAAGCCCATTGTTACATAGACTTATTTAAGCCCATTGTTACATAGACTTATTTAAGCCCATTGTTACATAGACTTATTTAAGCCCATTGTTACATAAACTTATTTAAGCCCATTGTTACATAGACTTATTTAAGCCCATGGTTACATAGACTTATTTAAGCCCATTGTTACATAGACTTATTTAAGCCCATTGTTACATAGACTTATTTAAGCCCATTGTTACATAGACTTATTTAAGCCCATTGTTACATAGACTTATTTAATGGGCTAAACAAAAAAGACATTTCCTAAATTTTGTGTGCCCACATTTTTGAAATCCCAATTTTCATGGGTACCAGGTATTTAAAATCAGTGGATACCTAGGGAGGGAGGAAGGGCGCCACCACCCCAGGTGGCACTTAGGGAGGGCGCCACCACCCCTGGTGGCACTTTTGGGGTGCACCTTTTGGAGTTTGCCCTGGGCTGCAAATAATTCAAAGTAAGCCACTACTTCAGATTCATTTCAATACTATTGTATCATGTATTATTTTCATTATTTTGTTAGAACAGCCCTTCCTAATATTTATTTAGTTAGAACAGCCATTGTTATCTTTCTTTAAAAGTCTGGCCGTCTACGATGAGTGTTTATTAAAATCATCAGATGATTGTGAAGTCTTCCATCTTGATGTACTTTCAAAAGTGTTGACAATGGTCATTGGTTCTGTAAGGTAATCTCGCAAAGTGTCTACTGAACCAGTTAGCGAGGTGACATCTTTGTATGTGTCATCATCAGAGTCTGAGAGACCCCCTGAGTGAAATGGGGTCACAAGGTTACTGCTGTCATCATCAAAACATGATAGCACACTGCCGTTAGCCTGAGCCACCATTGACATGAATGACATGTCTTCTGTGTCACTGACATTTAAGCTCCCTACGATGTCAGTCTCGCATTCATCTTGTAATGAAAAGGGCGGAATGAAATGTTCGGAGGGATGTCCTTCAAAGACTGGACTATTCTTGCATGAGTTTCTTTTAAGGCTGGTAAGTGAGTTTGGGCTTCGAGCGGATGCCCAGCTTAAATTTGATCCATGTCGTTTCTTGGACATCCTGCTGCGATCTTCAGCAAGAGGTGATTGCAACTCAAGGAACTCTTCCTCTTCACCTGTACATCGGTTTGATTTATTTTGTTTAAAAAAATGTAAATTTTCAAATTGACTGATAAGGTTTTTGACATGCCAGTTATAAGTTTTGGGCTGAGCAACTGTGACTAATGTAGAACTTTGGGTCATTGCTTTGACCACAGGAAACATTTGAGTGGATGGAATAATGTCCAGATATGTTGGTCTCATAGGCCCTTTGCCTGATACTGGTGTCTTCCAGTCTCTAGGGAGTGTGTAGGACTGGTCAAGATTACAATCATCTGTATTTGGAAAACATTTTTTGAATTTAGGTTTTCTAGACCTTGGTAATGTGCTATTACCAGAGAAACGATCATCATTGTCATGATTGTAATGATTGTCCGTTATAATTCTATCACACCCACCAGAGCTATTTGCTTTTCTTGAATTTCTGTCTGTTGAAGAATGATGAAATGAACTGAAGTGATACCCATTCACTCCTATGTGAACGGGGTTTTTTAGAAACTTATCTTCAGAATTTTGATTAAGGCAACTATTATAATAACAGTTAGTGTTCAGGGGGTTGTTGTGACCATTGAAACACCTTAAGTCTTTAGTCTCTCTATGATCTAATGGATCTTTAGTCTCCATATGATCTAATGGATCAGGTCTTTGATAATTTACCGTTGATCTGTTGATTGTCAATTGCTTGACATGATGTCGATTCTTTAAATGCTCCTTCTGAAAACTTTTTCCACCTGAACATGTTGCAACTTCTGAGTTCATTTCCGGATGTTTATAAATCTTTATCTTGACAGGATACTGACTATTCTCACAGTGATTATGAGGATTCTGACTATTCTCACAGTGATTATGAGGATTCTGACTATACTCTCTGTGATTATGAGGATTCTGACTATACTCTCTGTGATTATGAGGATTCTGACTATACTCTCTGTGATTATGAGGATTCTGACTATACTCTCTGTGATTATGAGGATTCTGACTATACTCACAGTGATTATGATGGTTCTGACTATACTTTCTGTGATTATGAGGATTCTGACTATACTCTCTGTGATTATGAGGATTCTGACTATACTCACTGTGATGATGCGCTCCTTTATAATGGTTTACATTTTGAAATGACTGGGGTCCATTCAGAGGTTGTCCTAATGAAGAAAATTCTGTTGAGCCCACATGTTGAAAAGAATGTAATTTACTATAAAATTCTACATCAGAAAAAGTGACTGGAATGGTCATTGTGGAACTTGATGCAGAATGATCACAACTTAAAGGCAACAGATCTTCCTCCAGGTATGTCAGCTTTAGAATGTCGGAACTCTGTGAGGAGTATATGGGCTTTATCAGGCTCTGATTCTCATAAAGAAATCCAATGGGGTCTGTTGCTGATGTGAATGAAGCATCCATGGAGAAGGCACTTCTTCTAGATCCAGATGATGAAGCTTTACTGGACATGGCTCTACTGGACACACCAGGTCTATAGCTGCTTGCAAATAAGCCTGATGAAGATGAAAAGTCAATGGCAAATTCCGGTGGCATTAATATCTCGCTGCTGATTTCTCTTTGCCTACGCATAGGTTGACGCCTTCTTTTACCATATCTCCTCAGGCAGTAACAGTTTCTAAAGCAGAATATGTTTAAAATGAATTGCACCAGTAATGTGTGACGTTTAGAATACATGTAGCAGATAGCGATGAATATAAAGAAACTCAATACGCAACTAAATAGTGCAGCTCCAAAATTCAGCGGATTAGGTTCAGAGGCTATTGTCTCAAAGTGCAAACAGTTGGATTGAAAGGTCAAATTGGTCTCATCAAAAACAGAACAGGACTCAAAAACACCATTAGCTGTGCATACCACATAACCTTGACCTCGTTGAAGTCCATGTACGTGGAAAGGGCTTTGAATCTCTGTTTGTTGTAAGATGAGGCAATGGTCAGACCTATTGAGATTCCAAATGACCAGTGTCATATCGGTGATGTGAAGTTCTTGAAAGGAAAAATGCTCAACTGGAGGCCTGGCTTTCATGCCTTTGACTTCAAAGCTGACGGAATCAGAAGAGATTGTTCTTAGCGAAAGGTATAGTTTAGCCTCGCATCTTAGCCCTGCCCACTGTCCCAAACACACACACTGGGCATCATTCCTCTGGGTGCCATTTACAAGTGACAGTTGACAGATGTTATTGTTGTCACAAATGATGTCATCACATGTTTTTGGTGTCCCTGAGAATAAATAAATATCATTATTATATTAGGTATTTCTCAGTGAGATGCTACTGATGCTAAAGTCAATGGTAATAGTGAAATGTTACCTGTCAGTGGTGATGTGTAACCACTCAGAAACTACTTCATGGTAATATCTAACACAATTGAGAAAAGCAAGAGGGAAATGATAAATAAATGTGTTTTTTTTAATTTGTTCATTGATTAGATTTCAAAAAGTCAAGTATTCTACTTTCTACTTCTTACATTTCATATGATGATTTTATATGATGATTTTATATGATGATTTCATATTGGCAAGAAGATTAAAATGAGCATTTAAATTCAGAGGTGTACCAAGGACTTTGGACCCCCACTGCAAGCAGGGCCATGGGAAGGTAAATCTGCACACAGGGCAAAGCCTGAAATGGCGCCCCTTTGTTTAAAAAATAAATGACATACAATTTAAACACATACATACACACACACATATATTATATTTATATATATATATATATACATACATACAAATTGCGCACCCCCCCCTCCTTTGTAGGTCCAGGGGTGGCTTCCTCTTCACTCCCCCCACCCTCACAATGCACTGACTGCAAGAACTAAAAGTGTGCCCCATCAATGAACTAGGGGTGGCTTCCTCTTCACACCCCCCACCCTCACAATGCACTGACTGCAAGAACTACAACTGTGCCTCATCAATGAACTAGGGGGTGGTTTCCTCTTCACTCCCCCCACCCTCACAATGCACTGACTGCAAGAACTACAACTGTGCCCCATCAATGAACTAGGGGTGGCTTCCTCTTCACTCCCCCCACCCTCACAATGCACTGACTGCAAGAACTACAACTGCGCCCCATCAATGAACTATTATTTGTCCAGCTGGTTGATTTGTGTCCCCTGGCTTACAGGTAAATAAAACAAACAAAAAATGTTTCAATCAGCACAGCCGTATTTTTTCAATACTTTATTCCTTTTAACTACAGATACATAAAGGGTTTGAAACATTTTTATTTCCGTTTTTTTTTTAATTACCATACTAGGTAATCAACCGTAATGCACCTACTGAATGATTTAGTATGTATGTCTTAAAAAACATTGAAACCTATGGGGGAAATACTTTTGAAGTATATTGAAAATTTGCATATGGGGTTGTTTAAACATTAAGGCTGCACTAATTTGAGACATGTAAAATAATTCACTTTCAATAGCTCATATAGTTTTCCAGAGCTATTTAGTTTTAAAAATTAAACTTAAATAATTTGTGGAGGTTTAGATTTTAAAAGTTCAACTTTGCTGAAAAAACTTTAAGAAAAGGCCTAGATTATTTAAAAAGAATAAGTAGCGGGTGCGTCACCTTTCATATAGACATCATATTAATTACTTAAATTATTATTGTATTATACTTTTAAGTGTAACATTCTAACTCAACAAACCTGAGTAGACATCTGTGGCATTCATGAAACCTGAGTAGGCATCTGTGGCATTCATGACACTTGTGGTCATGCCAAGAGAACAGAAAACAGTCATGCTAATAATTTTAAGTCTCAGGTAAATGTAAAATACAATGGGCTGTGACATTTTCGTCCTCCATTGACTAAATGTACTGGCATTATAGTCCTTCATTGACCAGAAGCACTGAATTTTTTTTTTCTCTGTTGTCCAGAAGTACCGATACTATGGTCTTTTATTTTCCAAGTGATTAGTTATTGTGGGAGCCTATGAGAGATAAAAGAGATTAATATATAAGTTTATAGGCCTACCTGTATAAATTTCAAGTTAAAAGAAAAAAATATCTATTTTATCCTCAATTTATTTCATGAAAACCTGATTGAGAAATGTTTTCTTTTTTGCATTTCCAACAATATATATAACATTATTTGAAACCATTAATATGATCAGATTTTAAAAACAATGTATTTGATAACATGATTAAAAAACTATATTATTTGATAACATTATTAAAAAACTATATTTTTTATAACATTATTAAAAACTATGTTTGATAAATTAATTGTTTTGTTAAAAACAAACAGTACAAATTTATAGACTGAAGAATTTCTGTTGTAATGGTTTATATCAGTTACAATAGATTTAATACCTACATGAAAGCCTAAAATGATTTAATCACCAAATGATATTATAGCCTACGAGGTTCAATTTTATCAGCAGAAAGTACATCAACATCATTTTAAAGAGAAGAATGCTGGAAAAGGAATATTCTGAATTAAAATTTTAAGCAGAATACATTTATTTTATCCAACATAAAATTTTAGTTTTATTAAAAAAAATAATTCAAGATACATGTCATGTAATAGATGTTGACATACGGCTATTAATAAATGAATGGATTAGGCCAGGAATGTTGACATACCACTAATAATAAATGAATGGACTAGGCAAGGAATGTTGATATACCGCTATAAATAAATGAATTGATTAGACAAGGAAAAAAGAGATGCTATTTTGTGTTGATCCTGGACCTCAAAATTGATGGAACATTGAAGTTTAAATTCATAGAGAGCACCAAACTTTTAGACAGCTGGCATAATTAATAAATCTTTAGCTACCATGTTTTACCAAGAACAGTGGATCCACCAATGTAAAGGATAATTATTATTTCAGTACCTATAAACTTCAAGCATCTTTAAATAGTTCACTTTAATCATACTTAATGTGTTGCAACAAATCTTATCAGCAGATACTATTTTAACCTAAACATCTGCCATTCTCTTAAATATTTTTGGTTTCTTAAAAGATGGAATATTCTGCTGCCCAACGCTATGACTTGGGTTTATTTCCCTAGGCTATGACAAATTTTTGTTTATCATATTTTATTCTTTAAAAATCTATGCAATAGATGAAAATAAATTTGTGTTAATTATATTTCAATTGCATTGCAAAAAAGGGGCTAAAAATAAATGCAATTTTGATTTTCTCCTTTTTAGATGGGTTTTATTTTAGGCAGTGGCAAACCTTGGGGTGGGGCGCCACCTTCCCATTTTGTATATAACATAATATAAAGAATGCATAGTGGGCCCATGTGTGTTAAAGGGCCAAACTTTTGGGAGGTCACCCCTAAGTGCTATTTAGACAATGTATGTCACTAATATTACTAATTTTACTAATATTACTAATATTAGCCCACATACTTTTATAGTTTTAATGTAGATGATGTGATACAAAGTTGTTCAAAAGAAAACAAGCATTAAGGTTAGATTTGTTCAAATCAATAGTTCTATGGAACAAGCATTAAGGTTAGATTTGTTCAAATCAATAGTTCTATGGAACAAGCATTAAGGTTACATTTGTTCAGATCAATAGTTCTATGGAACAAGCATTAAGGTTAGATTTGTTCAAATCAATAGTTCTAAGGAACAAGCATTAAGGTTATATTTATTCAAATCAATAGTCAATAGTTCTAAGGAACAAGCATTAAGGTTAGATTTGTTCAAATCAATAGTTCTATGGAACAATTATTAATGTTAGATTTGTTCAAATGAATAGTTCTTTGGAGAAGCATTAATGTTAGATTTGTTCAAATCAATAGTTCAATGGAACAAGCATTAATTAATGTTAGATTTGTTCAGATCAATAGTTCTATGGAATAATATTGCAAGATTATATAGTGTGTTTCAAATAAAAATTGTGAAATAAGAGAATACTATGAATTTATTTTTATACCTGTAAACATTTTAGGTGTAAACATTTTAGGTATAAACATTGGCTCTTGTAGGTGTAAACATTTTAGATGTAAGAGTTTTGAATTATGAGAACATAACTTAAATTTATTTTCATATTAAAATTATTATGTTCAACAAAAATTTAACAGTTGGATGAGTTGTTGCAAGATATGATCACTCTTTTGAGTAGCAAAGTAATAAATATTGCATATACTATCTTAGTACAATTTATACTCTAGACCCAGTCTAGATTTTGATGGTTTATAAATTAAACTTAGTTTTATTAAGTCCCTTTTCTCTTGATTTTAATAATGTAGGCAAACATAAATATGGGCTATTAAGAATATTAAAATTGACTAAGAGTAGTCAGTAACATAGAATTGTACTTAATTCAAGAATTTATTAGACATGTGGATAGCATTGTTAGATATATTAATTATTAATATCAGCTCAGTCCTTCACTTCATTAAACAATAACTATTTTCAGAGCCCACCTCAGATAGATTTATTCATTTATTGATTTTTTTAAAAATTAACTATAACACAGCATAACAATAATTGTATTGTCTTATTTAGTTTAGATATTAGTTTGAAATTAGCTATTAGCTACGTCATCATCATCATCATCATACTTCATGTCTGTACTTCTAACATAAGTGAAGTAGGACTATAAGTATAAGGCACAAACAATAATTAATAACAATAAGTATAAGTCAATAACAATGAGTAGCAATGCAAGATATATAATTATCATGACGTCACATAGGCCTATTATTTTATTATTAGATCACTTAAGTGACTAAACATTTTCTATAAATACCTACCATTGTTATGCTATCAAATAAAGTACCGTACAAGTAATGGTTATAATGAGGACAAGACAGCCAGACTGTGGCGTGCATGTGTTGAGCAGCACAGTCGGGTGAGTCAGACGACAGATCTTGGCGTGTGCCATCGTCACACTGTCAACGCTCCCACAAATCGAAACTCCTTGCTGCTACATAGTAGAAGAGACAAAGCACTGGATTTGCGTTTATATTAAAATTTCTTGTTTAAGTACATAGAAGAGACAAAGCACTTGATTTGCGTTTTTATTAAAATGTCACTTTAGGAATAGGCCTATATATATATATATATATATATATATATAGGCCTATTAATATTATATATATTTAAATTTTCAGTGGGCCTTTGCATTTTACATATCACCCCAACCTTAACTGTCCTTAACTAACCTATGATTGATTCAGTTACAATTGTCTTCTTTGTTCGATGTAAATGTAAGTATCAACCACCCAAACCCACGATGAAAACCATCTTAGTCTGACCACAGATGTATGCACAACTAGCCGCCATTAGTCTGATCACAGATGTATGCACAACTAGCCGCCATTAGTTTGATCACAGATGTATGCACAACTAGCCGCATTAGTCTGACCACAGATGTATGCACAACTAGCCGCCATTAGTTTGATCACAGGTTTATGCACCAATAGCCGCCATTAGTCTGACCACAGATGTATGCACAACTAGCCGCCATTAGTCTGACCACAGGTTTATGCACCAATAGCCGCCATTAGGTAATAAGTAGGCCTACATGTAACAGGACAAATACGGCAGCATGCTGGAAACACTAGGCTGGTCACCATCGGAGAAACGACGACGAAAATCCAGGCACTCCATGATGTACAAGATAAATAATGGGCTGGTCCACTGTTCCAGTATTAAACAGAAACTCGTCCCACTCCCCATAGACAGTGACGAGGCCATGACAGGCAATTCCGGCTCATACCAGCGAGAAGCCAGTATAGGAGCTGCTCATTTCTGCCCAAGACAATCAGGGACTGGAACAAGCTTTCAAAAGGAACAATTGAGGCGACAACACTAGGCACATTTGCGTCTATTGTCTCAGGCCTTCCAACCTCCAGTGCATGATACCCTCACAAAGTTGCCCTTGCAACCAGTGAAATATCATCAAGACCAGGCACCGAAACATTGCAAATCCCCCTACATGCATAGGAGCCAAATTGATCAATAAATTGATCATGGGCCCTTAATACATAGAAGAAGAAGATGAAGTCATTCATGCGATTAATTTCTATTGCAAATAAAATGTCGAGTGCTCTATCAACTTCTGCTATGGAAAATTGGAAATATTCAAACTATATACGGGACTGAGAGTTTACTATTATTAAAATGAATTTTCAATTGTTTCAAGTGAGATTGAGAATCCTGTGCTTTTTAACCTCTACGCTTCAGTCGGTCAACGTGGTCAAGTTAGTTGACCTCAACAAAGTTACTACCGGTACTTTATGTTCAAGAAGATCAACAGAGAAGAACAAAGTAATTAGTCGTTTCTCATTAAATATTATAGTCTTATTTTTAATCCTCAAAATGTCAGTGTTTAAATATATTAATAGGACTACATCATAGGGCTACCTCATAGAACTATCTCATAAGGCTACCTCATAGAACTACCTCATAGTGCTACATCAAAGGACTACCTCATAGAACTAACTCATAAGGCTACCTCATAGAACTACCTCATAGTGCTACATCATAGGACTACCTCATAGAACTATCTCATAAGGCTACCTCATAGAACTACCTCATAGTGCTACATCAGAGGACTACCTCATAGAACTAACTCATAGGGCTACCTCATAGAACTACCTCATAGTGCTACCTCATAGACCTACCTCATAGTGCTACCTCATAGAACTACCTCATAGTGCTACATCATAGGACTACCTCATAGAACTATCTCATAAGGCTACCTCATAGAACTACCTCATAGTGCTACATCAGAGGACTACCTCATAGAACTAACTCATAAGGCTACCTCATAGAACTACCTCATAGTGCTACATCAAAGGACTACCTCATAGAACTAACTCATAGGGCTACCTCATAGTGCTACCTCATAGGGCTACCTCATAGACCTACCTCATAGAGCCACCTCATAGAACTACCTCATAGTGCTACATCATAGAACTTCCTCATGGTGCTACCTCATAGACCTACCTCATAGAACTATCTCATAAGGCTACCTCATAGAACTGCCTCATAGTGCTACATCAAAGGACTACCTCATAGAACTATCTCATAAGGCTACCTCATAGAACTGCCTCATAGTGCTACATCAAAGGACTACCTCATAGAACTATCTCATAAGGCTACCTCATAGTGCTACCTCAAAGTGCTACATCAGAGGACTACCTAAATGACGTCATCTTCTCGGTTTAACTCGAAACCATCGCACCCACTCACTTATCATCCACTCACTTATCATCCACTCACTTATCATCCACTCACTTATCATCCACTCACTTATCATCCACTCACTTATCATCCACTCACTTATCACCCACTCACTTATCACCCACTCACTTATCACCCACTCACTTATCATCCACTCACTCATCATCCACTCACTTATCATCCACTCACTTATCATCCACTCACTTATCATCCACTCACTTATCATCCACTCACTTATCATCCACTCACTTATCATCCACTCACTTATCATCCACTCACTTATCATCCACTCACTTATCACCCACTCACTTATCATCCACTCACTTATCATCCACTCACTTATCACCCACTCACTTATCACCCACTCACTTATCATCCACTCACTTATCATCCACTCACTTATCATCCACTCACTTATCACCCACTCACTTATCATCCACTCACTTATCATCCACTCACTTATCACCCACTCACTTATCATCCACTCACTTATCACCCACTCACTTATCATCCACTCACTTATCACCCACTCACTTATCACCCACTCACTTATCATCCACTCACTTATCATCCACTCACTTATCATCCACTCACTTATCACCCACTCACTTATCATCCACTCACTTATCATCCACTCACTTATCACCCACTCACTTATCATCCACTCACTTATCACCCACTCACTTATCATCCACTCACTTATCACCCACTCACTTATCACCCACTCACTTATCATCCACTCACTTATCATCCACTCACTTATCATCCACTCACTTATCACCCACTCACTTATCATCCACTCACTTATCACCCACTCACTTATCATCCACTCACTTATCACCCACTCACTTATCATCCACTCACTTATCATCCACTCACTTATCATCCACTCACTTATCACCCACTCACTTATCATCCACTCACTTATCACCCACTCACTTATCCAAGTTCCAAAACTCATATTCTGTGACCTTCATAATACTTCATGAAATACCGCTACTCTCATAACCTCTTTATATCCCTGCCATATCATCTTTATAGTACTGTCAAAGCATCTTTATATTACTGTCATAACATCTTTATAATACTGTCAAAGCATCTTTATATTACTGCCATAACATCTTTATTACTGTCATAACATCTTATATTTTTATCATAACATCTTGATAGTTTTGTCATAACATCTTTATACTACTGTCATAACATCTTATATTATTGCCATAACATCTTGATAGTACTGTCATAACATCTTTATAGTACTGTCATAACATCTTCATATGTTACAAGTATTTTATTTTAACTTTCAAAGAGTGGAGCAAACTGTTGAATTTCATTTGTTTGCATGAACAGTTTGAATCAAATAATTTAGACTAGAATTTGAGAAGAATAAATAAAATCATGGACTTTTTAAAAGAAAAACAAACAACAGCTTTTAATTGTATGACCGAGTTGAGAACTTATCTGTTGGCTACTAACTAGGAAAGGGATGCAACAAATCTTTGTTGGTTACTAACTATGAAAGGGATGCAACAAATCTTTGTTGGTTACTAACTATGAAAGGGATGCAACAAATCTTTGTTGGTTACTAACTATGAAAGGGATGCAACAAATCTTTTTTGGTTACTAACTACAAAAGGAATGCAACAAATCTTCGATATAAGAATTTGTGAAACAGCAATGAATACCAAACCCAAAAAATAAGTTTTATGTGCAATCGTAAAACGTGAATTACTCTCGATGACGTAGCTATAGTTTGTGACCTAAAACGTGAATTACTCTCGATGACGTAGCTATAGTTTGTGACCTAAAATGTGAATTACTCTCGATGACGTAGCTTTAGTTTGTGACCTAAAATGTGAATTACTCTCGATGACGTAGCTATAGTTTGTGACCTAAAACGTGAATTACTCTCGATGACGTAGCTAGAGTTTGTGACGCCCGGTGCTGTCCTAGATTTTGCCGCCCCAATTCACAAATGGTGCGTCCACCAGTTCGCACACCTCCACAAACATCATTCAGATGCGCCCTGCTGTCTAACAACATCACAGAAGATCACAGCATTACACGGTTTCGGAGACTTCTTGATGATTATTAGATATACATTTTTAAAACAAAGAAAATAGCTATCTAACTGTATAAATTAAATCATTATCTTCTTCTAGTGTTATTAGAAGTAAATAAGGACTACTAAATACTGCTAAAATATATATTCAGTTGACATTAAATATAAATGGAAAGTGTAAAATAATTTCTAAAAATTCAAATACTTTGATAAAATTGTAACACTTGTCAGAAAGCCTTGAGAGATTACGGCCCCACACACCAATGTCCCCACACACCATTGGCCCCACACACCAATGTCCCCACACACCAATGTCCCCACACACCAATGGCCCCACAGTCCAGTGTCCTCGAAGGTCTGTTACCTCACTCTATTCTTATCATCTCAACAGCACGTGCTACAGATCAATAAGGCAGCACACAGTAACTAAGCCAGTATAAAATTATTGATTTACGTTCCGCCATTGTTTTTTGGTCACCGTTAGTTAAGCGTTAGGGTTAGGATTCCTCATTTCCAGGGGCTTTGTTTATCCCGGGATAACGGGAATGAAGTTTATCTCACCCAGGGATAGAATAAAATAATTACAAAACTATATTTCAGTAAAGTTAACGATAAAAGAGTTGATTTTTACAATTGTTTCATTGTTTTTGTCTATAAATAAATAAATAAAAACAATACTAAGGTTAGTTGAGAGGTTGGTCACGTGCTACTCGTTGGTCACGTGATACTCGTTGGCCACTTGCTACTAGTTCATTTCCCACTGCTTATCCCTAGTATTTGAAAACTAGTTATAATATGTTCGTTAAGCAACAGTCGTATATAAATAATTTCACGTAGAGACAAACAACTAAACACTTTATGAGTTTTGCATTCTTTACAAGCACGGCCCATTGGTGAGAATCTCATACAAGCACGGCCCTCTGGAAAGAATCTCATACAAGCACGGCCCTCTGGAAAGAATCTCATACAAGCACGGCCCTCTGGAAAGAATCTCATACAAGCACGGCCCTCTGGAGAGAATCTCATACAAGCGCGGCCCTCTGGAGAGAATCTCATACAAGCACGGCCCTCTGGAGAGAATCTCATACAAGCACGGCCCTCTGGAGAGAATCTCATACAAGCACGGCCCTCTGGAAAGAATCTCATACAAGCACGGCCCTCTGGAAAGAATCTCATACAAGCACGGCCCTCTGGAAAGAATATCATACAAGCACGGCCCTCTGGAAAGAATCTCATACAAGCCCGGCCCTCTTGAGAGAATCTCATACAAGCACGGCCCTCTGGAGAGAATCTCATACAAGCACGGCCCTCTGGAGAGAATCTCATACAAGCACGGCCCTCTGGAAAGAATCTCATACAAGCATGGCCCTCTGGAGAGAATCTCATACAAGCACGGCCCTTTTTAGGTCTTGTTTCCAATCGTTNTATTCTGTCAGGACCTGCCGCCTTGCCTTTCTTTAGTTGTTTAATTGCTCTGCATATTTCTTGCTTTGTGGGTGTGCTGCACTCTATTTCTAGATCTTTTTCCGCTGGCTCTATGTTGAGTGTGTGTTGTGGTGCTGGCCGGTTGAGGAGTTCTTCAAAATGTTCTATCCATCTTTTTTTCTGACCCTCTTCATCAGGTATTGATTTCCCATCTTTAGTTTTAACTGGTCTCACTGGATTGTTGAACTTTCCAGATAACTTTTTGATTGTACTGAATAATTCTCTTGTGTTTCCATGGTACGCAGCCTCCTCTGCTTCACATACATCTATCTATACTATTTGTCTTAATATGTCAATCAAAGGAATCTTCTTACATCTATCTATACTATTTGTCTTAATATGTCAATCAAAAGAATTTTCTTAAATCTATCTATACTATTTGTCTTAATATGTCAATCAAAGGAATCTTCTTACATCTATCTATACTATTTGTCTTAATATGTCAATCAAAGGAATCTTCTTACATCTATCTATACTCATCATCATCATCATCGCCTGTCGTCCCGTCTGGGGCATAGGCCACAAACAAAGGCTCTCCAGGCATCCCGGTCTTGGGCAAGTCTCTCCAACTGTCCCCAGTTGTGCCCACTCTTTTTGATGTCTGCCTCCAGTTCCCTTCTCCAAGTTGTTTTGGGTCGACCTCTTTTTCTCTTACCCTGGGGGTTCCAAGTCAGGGCTTGTCTCGTGATACTTGATGCGGGCTTTCTGAGGGTGTGGCCAATCCATCTCCATCTGCGCTGGTTCTTGTTGTGTGCGCCGCCAGAGATCCTCGTTGGTGATGACGGTGGGCCAGCGGATTCGTAAAATCGTTCGGAGACATGAGTTGATAAAGGTCTGGAGCTTTTTTGAACCAGCTGCTGTTGTTCGCCATGTTTCTGCCCCATATAGCAAGACAGGTTTCACTGTGGTGTTGAATACCTTGACCTTGGTCTGGAGGGTCAAATTGCTGCAGCTCCAGACCTTTTTTAGCTGGTTAAATGCCGCTCTTGCCTTACCAACTCTCACTCTTATGTCGGCGTCTGTCCCTCCTTGTATGTCAATGATGCTGCCGAGGTATGTAAAGCTATCCACCTCCTCAAGGTTTGTTCCTTCCAGTGCTATAGGTGTGTTGCTTGATGTATTTATTTTAAGGACTTTGCTTTTTCCTCTGTGGATGTTCAGGCCGATGCAAGCAGAGTACTGTGCTACATAATTGGTTTTCTCTTGCATCTGTTGCTGTGTGTGTGATACTAGGGCCAGATCATCCGCAAAATCCAGGTCATCAAGTTGTTTCCATAGTGTCCACTGAATACCATTTCTCTTCTGCTCTGTAGACATTTTCATTATCCAATCAATGGTCAGCAGGAATAGGAAAGGCGAGAGCAGACACCCCTGTCTGACACCGGTCTGTACCTCAAAAGCCGCCGTTGTTTGCTGGCCGTGGACAATTCTGCACGATAGTCCTTCGTAAGAAGCCTTAATTATGTCTGTCAATTTTTGTGGTACCCCGTAGTGTCTAAGCAGCTTCCACAGAGTCTGTCTGTCGACACTGTCAAAAGCCTTCTCATAGTCAATGAAGTTGACGTATAGTGACGAGTTCCACTCCAGAGATTGTTCCACAATAATTCTCAGTGTGGCAATCTGGTCTGTGCAGGATCTGTCTTTTCTGAACCCTGCTTGTTGGTCCCTAAGATTGATGTCTATTGCCTCCCTCATTCTGTTTAGCAGCATTCTGTTGAATACTTTGCTTGGGATCGACAGCAGGGTTATTCCCCTATAGTTAGAACAAGAACTAAGGTCTCCTTTCTTCGGGAGCTTAACGAGGTGTCCTTCTTTCCATTCAGCCGGTATCTGTTCCTCCTCCCATATTTTCTTGAATAGTGTGTGTAGCATTTCAGTGCTAGACGTAATATCTGCTGTCAAGGCTTCTGTCGGTATTCTGTCAGGACCTGCCGCCTTGCCTTTCTTTAGTTGTTTAATTGCTCTGCATATTTCTTGCTTTGTGGGTGTGCTGCACTCTATTTCTAGATCTTTTTCCGCTGGCTCTATGTTGAGTGTGTGTTGTGGTGCTGGCCGGTTGAGGAGTTCTTCAAAATGTTCTATCCATCTTTTTTTCTGACCCTCTTCATCAGGTATTGATTTCCCATCTTTAGTTTTAACTGGTCTCACTGGATTGTTGAACTTTCCAGATAACTTTTTGATTGTACTGAATAATTCTCTTGTGTTTCCATGGTACGCAGCCTCCTCTGCTTCACATACATCTATCTATACTATTTGTCTTAATATGTCAATCAAAGGAATCTTCTTACATCTATCTATACTATTTGTCTTAATATGTCAATCAAAAGAATTTTCTTAAATCTATCTATACTATTTGTCTTAATATGTCAATCAAAGGAATCTTCTTACATCTATCTATACTATTTGTCTTAACATGTCAATCAAAGGAATCTTCTTACATCTATCTATACTATTTGTCTTAATATGTCAATCAAAAGAATCTTCTTACATCTATCTATACTATTTGTCTTAACATGTCAATCAAAGGAATCTTCTTACATCTATCTATACTATTTGTCTTAATATGTCAATCAAAGGAATCTTCTTACATCCATCTATACTATTTGTCGTAATATGTCAATCAAAGGAATCTTCTTACATCTATCTATACTATTTGTCTTAATATTTTAATCAAAGGAATGTTTTTACCTCTATTTATTATGTCTTACTATTTTAATGTTGGATCTGTGCTCAGGTCATCCATACACAAGTACAGCTGAACTCCGCTATAACGCGACAATTTCGGTTAAACAATAGGATCAAATCGGATCTCGTTTCTACAGGGTAAAGTTAATATTAGCTTTAAAAGTGAACAACATTTCCCTGTTCAAAATTATACATTTCCAAAGATCTATTTATATGCGGAACCAACTAACACATTTTGACATTAGCGTGAGTCATACATTTTCTTGAATTCTCAACATACTTAAATCACATGTCATTTAAATTATCACTTTGGAATTAAACTTATTTCTTTCTTATTGTCAGTACAATGGCCGTCAGTCAAACGTCCCAGAGGCGAAACGGCGGCGGCTAATCGTCATAGGTCAAACTATACAGGCCTGTAATGGGTGATGATGGATGGAGAATTGGGACAAATCAAGAAATAGACCAGTTGCAGTAGCGACAATCGAAAAGGTTAGACTGCTCGACAGCATATGAAAAGGTTAGACTGCTCGACAGCATATGAAAAGGTTAGACTGCTCGACAGCATATGATAAGGGTAGACTGCTCGACAGCATATGAAAAGGGTAGACTGCTCGACAGCATATGAAAAGGGTAGACTCCTCGACAGCATATGAAAAGGGTAGACTGCTCGACAGCATATGAAAAGGTTAGACTGCTCGACAGCATATGATAAGGTTAGACTGCTCGACAGCATATGATAAGGTTAGACTGCTCGACAGCATATGATAAGGGTAGACTGCTCGACAGCATATGAAAAGGTTAGACTGCTCGACAGCATATGATAAGGTTAGACTGCTCGACAGCATATGATAAGGTTAGACTGCTCGACAGCATATGAAAAGGTTAGACTGCTCGACAGCATATGAAAAGGTTAGACTGCTCGACAGCATATGAAAAGGTTAGACTGCTCGACAGCATATGAAAAGGTTAGACTGCTCGACAGCATATGATAAGGTTAGACTGCTCGACAGCATATGATAAGGTTAGACTGCTCGACAGCATATGAAAAGGTTAGACTGCTCGACAGCATATGAAAAGGTTAGACTGCTCGACAGCATATGAAAAGGTTAGACTGCTCGACAGCATATGAAAAGGTTAGACTGCTCGACAGCATATGAAAAGGGTAGACTGCTCGACAGCATATGAAAAGGTTAGACTGCTCGACAGCATATGATATTATTATTGTGAGTTGTGTTGTTGTTTTTTGGTTGCTTTTTTTTTTTTTAAATTGTCATCAGAGACGTCTGCCGGTTGCTTCCAAGCTGGGTTCGGAAGGGGAGGAAGTAGAATACTCCCTGCATGCCTTACAAATGGAGGAGTAATTTATGCTAATTTTTTTCTTAATGATCTATTCGCTTTATTTACGAATTATTTCTAACATAAACTTTAAAAAATAGTTATTTAGCACAATTTTTGGCGGCCATTTGCTTGTCAAGAAATAATCACTGAAAAAATACTTAAAAACGTCATCACGACAGTAGCCTGGGGGGAGGGGGAAAGGGGGGGGGGGATTGGGGGTCAATATTTTTGTCCTGTATACTGAGGGCGGCATTTTCGGCCAATGCATTTTTTTTTCTTCTCGAGAACAAAGGGGCAAATATTCATGGCTCGCCCCGGGGGCACTAACCCCACCTTCCCCACTGTATCATTTTTTTTTTTTTTTTAACTTTAATTAGCTATGAAACAAACTGGTGTGTGACGTCATTCACCGGATTCAGGAGCCGATATAGAGTTTTTTAAACACCACGTTTTCGTCCAACTGCTAACACGGATTAAATATGAAACAAATCGATTCGCCACATTTTCTTGAATGTCGTGTATTCAGATATTGCGACATCTGGCCACTAGTGGCTTATGTCTCCTTTCTAATCTCAGAGTTCTCTCCCCTGCTCCCCCAACACTTACTATAAGTTGTGAGATCTTATGAACACTTCATGATTAAATATGTGAAATTTCTGAATTAAATTTAATGAGATTTGAAATGATCAATTATTCTTCACTATAATTGTACTGTTCAACTCGTAAGAGTTCTAATAAAACAAAAAACGGTCAAAGCACGGGTAATCGTCTACCCATAAAATTGAAAGCTTAAACACTCCATCAATACGTTGTGAACTCTGATAGTTACCTCCCCTTTCCCAAATGTTGCATGTGGCAGTCCCCCACGTGTAATGTGTGTAAGTGTAAGTTATCTCTGTGGTTGACATTTCTCGTGGTTACTCCGCCATTCATATCAGTTGGTAAGTGGGCTTTTTGTTACAACAAATATGGAGAATAGTTTTGAAATTTAAAAAAAAAATTAAATTAACAAATGTGGGTCATTCATGACGGGGACTTCCACATTTAAAATAAAATATAAACGTGAATAGAATTCATTCTAAAACCCTTTTTAATAATGTGATATGTCAGAGTGTATGGCTTCGATAGGTCAGACTGTATGTTATTGAGAAACGCAAGAATAAGAATTAAGAAAGATGGAAAATCAGTTCAAAAATATGTTTCTACGAAATCTTAGATTAATTGTGTAGTCCTCTACGACATTTAAGTTTGTGTAGTCCTCTACGACATATTAGCTAGTGTAGTCCTCTACGACATTTAAGTTTATGTAGTCCTCTACGACATATTAGCTAGTGTAGTCCTCTACGACATTTAAGTTTGAAAATATAGTAATACTCACATGCTTGGGGAAGAATTTAATGCTATGAAATATTAGAATTATAATGTAATGCTATGAAATATTAGAATTAGAATGTAATGCTAAAAGAACAATTTGTTTAATTAGTCTTTTTATATATATATTTTTTTAGATTTAACCGTAGAAATGTATAATAAGAATAAATTAGCATCTAAGATAAGAAGAGGTCAAATGAACAACTGATCAAATGATAGACCAAGTAACATAACATAAACAGGGTTAGGGTTAGGGTTAGCCTAACAGCAAGTAATGTAACATAAACAGGGTTAGAGTTAGGGTTAGCCTAACAGCAAGTAATATAACATAAACAGGGTTAGGGTTAGGGTTAGCCTAACAGCAAGTAATATAACATAAACAGGGTTTGAGTTAGGGTTAGCTTAACAGCAAGTAATATAACATAAACAGGGTTAGGGTTAGGGTTAGCCTAACACCAAGTAATATAACATAAACAGGGTTAGGGTTAGCCTAACACCAAGTAATGTAACAAAAACGATGACCTGGTTTTGCCACAAACAACTCCCCCCCCCCCTACATAATAACAAACAAAAAATAAAATGAAAATTACAAAATTAAAAACCAAGTCGTCCTGGTATTACTGATAACACTGGCAAGGTCATCAAGGCCATCCGTATTGTAAACATTAGAAAACACTGCTTATCCTGTTATCTTGGTCTCTTTGCACTCTTGACTTTGTCATTAAATCAAGTCAATGGGCAGAATTGTTCGTATTACACAATAATAAGAGTTTTAGCTAATCAACTGCTGGAAACATTCTGTACAATTGCATTAATGTTTCTATGAAGCTTTAGCTCAACCTAAGAAGAGGGAGTGGTAGGGCCTTCAGGGCCTAGGAGAGTAAAAGTTGCGATTGCAAGGCTAGGGGAGTAGAAATGGAGATTGCAAGGCTAGGAGAGAAGAGGTGATTGCAAGGCTAGGAAAATAGAAGTATTAGAAGTGGTGATTGAAAGGGTAGGAGAGTAGAAGTGGTGATTGTTAGGCTTGTAAAGTAGAAGTGGTGATTGCTAGGCTTGTAAAGTAGAAGTGGTGATTGCAAGACTATAGGAGAATAGAAGTGATTGCTAGGCTAGGAGAATAGAAGTGGTGATTGGAAGGCTAGGAGAGAGGAGGTGATTGCAAGGCTATGAAAATAGAAGTATTAGAAGTGGTGATTGCAAGAGTAGAAGAGTAGAAGTGGTGATTGCTAAGCTTGTAAAGTAGAAGTGGTGATTGCAAGGCTTGTAAAGTAGAAGAGGTGATTGCTAGGCTTGTAAAGTAGAAGAGGTGATTGCAAGGCTAGAAAAATAGAAGTGGTGATTGCAAGGCTTGGGGAGAAGAAGTGGAGATTGCAAGGATAGGAGAGTAGAAATGGTGAATACAAGGCTAGTAGAGTAGAAGTGGTGATTACTAGGCTGAGAGAGTAGATGTACACTATGTAATGACAGGTTTCATCAGCTACTACACTATGTAATGACAGGTTTCATCAGCTACTACACTATGTAATGACAGGTTTCATCAGCTACTACACTATGTAATGACAGGTTTCATCAGCTACTACACTATGTAATGACAGGTTTCATCAGCTATGACAGGTTACTGCAGCCTGCTAACCGCTTCCATGCAGTATCAACCGGTTACATCGTTAGGATTACTCACTTTGAAGAAGAAGAATTGAGCTGCATTGTTAAAATGTAATATTCGATTGTTGTTATTTCTTTCTAATTCTAGTAGACAGCTTAATGCTAATGGAGAGCATGTTAATAATGAAACGGCTAATTATTCTGTTGCTGGCGCATCACCTCCCTGTTTTGGAAGCTAAGATTGGCTTTGTCAAAGATCTGTCCATGGATGCTCAATTTCCTGGCCCAGTTTACAGACAGGCTGCATCACTTCCTGAGGGCCACATGAGACCACTTGGTCAGTTTATTTTAGGGATAATCATTATTAGACATTGCAGTTACTGGTATATTGCATGCAAGTAATAGACCAGATAGAAAATATATGGAAAATAAATTAATAACAATTTTGTTACGTTGGCGGTTTAAACCAAATTCACAATTTTACATAGCTGCAATATCTTTTTCCTGTTTAGTTTTTAAATTTTACTTGGACCCACTTTATTTCCGTTCTGCTGAGCTTTGTTTTTTTGTTGGGAACTTGTGCCCATTCTCATTCTTTTCTTTCATTTTTAGTTGGGATACATTTAATATATATATATTATGGAAATTTAATTTATGTTTATATGAATGTTTTTTTGTTGTTGTACTGAAGAAGGTATTTGCCTAAACGTCTGTATGGTAATCTCTAATTAATAAAGTTAATAAATTATTATTTTTTTTTAAAGGCAAACTAGTTTAATCCATATATAAAGTATAATAAAGCAATTCAGACGAATAATAACTGGATACGCATTAACTTTAACAAGTCTTAACTTAATTAAGTAAGTAATAAGACTATGATTCTATGATAGTATGACTATTAATGAGAAATAAACCTAAAGAATAAAGTAAAGAGTAATATTTTATTTGGGATGAAATCAGGTAGGGTAGGCCTAATTATCATTAATTACGGTAATGGAGGGCATTAAGTGAGTTAAGCACCATGTTTTCAAGAACTTTTTGTATTCTCTTTGAAATAAATGAATATTATAAAGGTAATTTACCACTTGAGCGTCGCCAAGAAAAAATCCAGCTGTTCCGGTTTGAAGGGCTATTTAAACAATTAATCTTATCTTGTTTTTACGACGTTGTACATATTCATTCCAGCACATATACAGTAGAACAAATAACACAAGACAATTTAAAAAAATAGAAAATGTAAAACAATTTAATTTTTTAAAAAAAGTAAAATAGAAGAAATCAAACAATGTAATGTCAATGTGTAAAAATGACATTGACATTATGCATAGTTCTCCCCCAAATGATATTTTCAAGAACTTCATTCTCGCCTGACCTTGGGGGAGAACTATGCATTCATAATGTCATTTTTACACATTACATTGTTTGATATCTTTCTTGAAGTACAAAAGCTTTAATGAGCAAAATTTAAAGCCATATAGTATGATATAGTGAAAAAAAGGTTAAAAAGTTAAAACTAATTATGACTTAAATTTAACAAAATGGGGGCAATTAGCTCCAGCATTTTCAATGAGGAATCAATGCATATATTTTCACATAGGTTGTAGGCAATTCTGACAGATCAATTCCATGGCTTCTATATCAGATTTTTTGGGGATTTCATTATCAAAACTATATTTAAAATTTTTTTAAACCTATTTCTACAAATTAATAGCTTTTGTTTTCAATTTAAACTCTATCTGTCATAATCTGTTTAATGCTATTTGAATTAAAACATGGATTTTATTAATCTGATCAATATTATTTGGTTGTTTTAATCATCTTTTAACAGTTTTGGGTGTTAAGCCCCTGCTATTTAAAATATTCATTTTTATAAACTAATTAAATAAATAAATAATCTACAGAACCATATCTCTTTTACAAATGCTACCTATTCAAAATATTAGAAGGAACTTTAGTATTAAAGTGAATTTTAGATCTTTTTATAAACAATCTCTAAATCATTCATCCAACTGCCATTTTACGTTGCAAAAATAACCAGCTTCATTTGCTCTACAAATATCAGTATTTTAACTCATTCATGACATACACATATAGTTAAAAACTAAAAAGAAGTACTTGCTGAATTTAGTTGTACTTTTTTTTGTATGTAAACTAAAAATCTTTCATTGTAGAAATAAAATTTCAAGTAAAAATAAACAAGCACCCTCTTAGCTGAAGTTTTGCAAAGGGTTTGAAGAAGACTGAAAACTAGAGGGGAAAAGCACTCATCTAAAAAGGCAAATTAAAAATCAATCCCATAGGTTAGAAACCCAAGAATGGTTGTGAAAAGTTCTCTGATTGGTTAGTAAGTTTCTGTCAACTAAAGCTTAATGCCTTTCTCTCTTCTTACAATAATATCAAGCATTTTATCATATGAACTGAGCAATTAGGGCTTAATACCCCATGGAGCCAATTACCTCCCTTTACCCTTTACCAGGAAATCAATTGTCAATAGCCATACCAAAATATAGACGAAAAAGAAAAGAGAAAATTTTATTATTAAAACCATCTATTTCCAGGTTGGCAGCGTAGACCTGACGGTCCTATAACTGAAGAACCAGAGATGCCTGCCACGAAAGAGTTCTTTGAAAATTATGTAAGCTCCGACAAGCCAGGGGTGTTTCGAAATGCTGTTAGCAATGCACCTGCCTTTACCACCTGGCAAGATGACAAGTATTTAACGGAGAAGTGAGTATCAGTCGACTAATATTTAACTGAGAGAGAATGCAGTACCAATATTTTGTATTCTTAGAGTTAGAAAAAGATTAATTTAAAATTAGGGAATTAATTAAATTTTTTGCTTACTTTTAAAATAAAAGTATCAATAAGAATAGTTGCAAAGATGCTATAAAATATTCATATTTAAATAGGTATGGGGATCTAAAGATGGCAGTGCGTGTGAAAGTAGCCAGAAGAAGAGACAAAATTGAAAGCACTGTGCAAATAATGAAATTTAAGAAATTTCTTTATGACTACATGTATGATGAGCTGTATTTGGCAAGTGTCATACCACGAGCCATGATGGATGAACTACCGGTTAGTAGACCATTTAATTTGCAAATTTCATGTTTTTTTCATAAAATAAGTTTGCCATTCTGTAGATCAGGCCTGCGCAACTCAAACGGTGATGAGTGCAATATTAAATATGGAAAAAAATTGTATGGGGCAGCAAGAAAAAAGGGGGAGAGCTAAAAGAAATTATGAAAAAATATTTAAAAAATACTTTTTCCAGCATAATCGAGAAAATTAATTATTTTAAAAATTAAATTTATGTTTACTTTCCATTCGTATATGTCCTCTTTGTTATTTTATTAAAATTTTTAAATCTAAAACTTAGAGAATATTATTTTTAAATTATAATATCATGCCCATTCACTAACGTTAAAGGCTTTGGAGGCCACAGAGTAAACACTGGTTGGCCTCATGCCACCCTCAAGCCATATGTTGTGTAGGCCTGTTGTAGGACGTATAAAGACAACAGATAATCAACAAGCCAATGAATTCAACTTATTGCCTTCCATTGGCATATATAAAATGGCATATGTAAAATATTTTGATTAAATCCTGTAAAAATTTATCTTCTATTTTTCATATTTATTAAGTGAATGAAAATGACCTTTATTGTGTGCACTGATTTATAGATAAAGTGCTTGACTTGTAACATTTGTTAAGAGAAGGTGTATATCAAATGTAGCTGGTGCTAGACTTGTAACCTTTATTAAGAGAAGGTGAGCTTTAAATATCAATTAAACAGTGGAAACTTGTCACTAAGGAAATTAAATTTGCTAGGACATCTAATCTATTTATTTTTTGTGATTTATTTTTATTAACCTTGTCTTTTGAGATTAAATTAAATTTAGAATCTATATTTCACTATCTAAAAAAAAAAGCAGCATCTAAATAAAAATAATATCTGGCAATAATTATGTGGGGCATGTATTTTCTGCAGCTGCCTAAGTGTATACGGTGTGGAACAATAAGTGAACGCTACCACTCTGCTCAACTTTGGATGTCCAGTGGTGGAACGTCCAGCAGAATACATAGCCATGATAACCATCTTCTACACTGTGTGCTATTTGGGCGAAGAGATTTTATTCTTATTGAAGGGAAGCATAAGAAATCTTTTGACTTTGATGATGAGGTAAGCAAGTAATTGACAAGACTTGCCATAACTCAGTTTGCTTGCTATTTGTTCATAAAAAATTTTTTTCCATGTTCAGTTTTTATAATTTATTCACTGTAGAGCATACAATCAGGATGAACTTTTTTATAAGATTGTCTCAAAAGAATACAGTACAGTGTTTCAACTTTATTGTGAATTTGTACTGAATTTATTTCTTAAATTGATTCATTTTCTTCATATTAAATACTTATAAAATAATTATGCCATGCCATGTCATTGAAAAGTGAACAATTTATTAAAAACTAATCATCCTTTTTTTTACATGGATTATTAGTTTGTAGGTTCTTTGGGAGGTCACTCAGATATAAACACAGAAATGATTAATGCCTTTACATACAAGAACATTGCACGTGTTCCTTGGATATGGTCAACACTCTATCCTGGAGACTGTATCTACGTGCCTGCTGGTATGTTCACCATAGGTTTTTAACTTCAGGCTACTTGTACATGATTTATAACAGGTGCTCAAGATAACAATTTCATTTTGTATTCAACAATTGCCACATTTTTTAACTCTTTGAATGTTGTGCCCATCAGCTCATCAGATGTTGACTCTTTAATGCAGTAGGAAGTTGATCAGCAATGCTTTCCAAGTAGTTGAAACAAACAGATAGAAGTTATCATTCATGAAGTTAAATCAAAGCTGTTACAAATCTGAATGGCTACACCAAGATGGGCACTGAATTAATATACTTTTTGAAATCTAGTTCTACTTTACAGTCTGCTAATGTAGATTTCAAGAAATTATTTATTTTGAAAAAGTTATACTTACTTCTTGATTATGAAATTGTCACTTTTTTAAAAAGGATTTTACTAGAAATTGCTCTGAAATTTTATTTATATTACATTTTTAACATGAATTACACATCAATTCTACCCTTAGAAAATCACCTTAATATTTTAAAAACACAAATTCCTTAACTAACTAATGATTGCCATATTCAGTTTGTATTCTTGTAATCACCATACATGGTATGCTTTCCAATGAAACTTTTATTAATGGTAGCAATGTGGGTTGTGTACATTTTAATAATTTATGGGGGAATTTTATTCTTAGTAACTTGTCATATTTAAACCAAAAATATAACAAAATATTCTTGTTATATTTTTCCATTTTATGTATAATAATTTTACACTAAAAATAAATTACTAATTTCTATAGCCTCGTGTTAACAACCATATCAAGTTTTATTTAATAATTAAACTGTATTTAAAGGGAAATAATTAGACTGTATTTAAAGGAAAATAATTGCTGAACTTTATATATTAACTTTGAAATTAATTATTTCCTTGAATTGGCTACATAAAAAGTCGGGTTGAACTGCACGAGGCTCATCTGGGAATATCTTATAATGTCATTGCTCAAAATATTTCATTGATGAAAAACCAAAGATAAATGCAAATTTTCAATTTGAGCAATCAATAGAGCCTGCTCTCAATGTAATGCAAAAATCTAAACCAATCATTTCAATCTTTATAAATTAAAAATAACTGATTCCATTTAAACATGTTTGTAGGCTACATTCATCAAGTTCGATCCCATGGCAGAAGTATTTCTCTGACCATTGAGTTTATTCCCTTTGATCGCTTTGATGACAATGGCTGCACCTTGATAGAAGAAGAATTTATACCATTGTCTGAGGGGTCTTTCCTTCTATCATTTGAAGATGGGAGATTGGTAAGATTATAGGGCAGTTAACAACAATAGGAACCGGCTACGATTTTAAATTTTCAGATAAAGAGTAAGAAAAAATAAAAATGATTTTCTTTGACAGAAAAAAAATGAACAGAAAATCTTTGAGACAAAATCAAAACAGTAAGAGTAAAAAGCTATCCAAGTTATCCAAGATTAATTATTTTTTTAAAGTCCATAATTTATATACTACTTTGAGAAAAGTTTTCGTTCTGTAGATCCTAGAAGGAATCTTAGATTTGTATTAGTACTAGATATGCATTGAGTAAAAAATAACAACATACCCTTAAATTTTGTTTCATATTAATATGTAATTTTGTATTTTAAATTTCAAAATGTTCAATTTTACTAAGTCTTCTAATTACTGTACTTTAGGGACTATAAGACACACTTTTTTCTTCGAAAAATTGCCTCCAAAATTCAGATGCGTCTTATTGTCAATATTAATATAAATGGTAAAAATAACTAAAAATGTTATTTTAAAAAAATAATAAATTGCTTCAAAATTAAGGTGCGTCTTATAGTCCATAGCATCTTATAGTCTGTAAAATATGGTAAGTTTGAATTGTGTAAAAATTATTTAATTCATTTTGTATGTTAAATTCACATGAAATTATTGTTAAAGTAAACATATTTATAGTTATATATTTTTAAATCATTTTATTTTGTCAGCATTTGACAGAGACAAACTGGAATGAAGAAGATGTACGACAGCTGTTGATTCTGCTGATGGGGAAAACAGATTCTTTAACAGTTTACAAATTTGAAAATTTTTATAAAGACATTCTTGGAGAGGTGAAAAAAATTTTTTATTGTAATATTGAATGTCTGTCTGTGTAATGGTTACAACAAATAATTTCAGTTTATTTTACATATTTCTACACACTTACAGATATTCCTACTAATGTCCATATATCCCTAAATAGTCCTACTTATCCTTGTATACTCCTGATTATGTAGATAGATACCCTTACATTTCCCTAAATACTCTTACATATTCTCCTATACATCTACATATTACAGAGTAATCGAACATATTCTTGAAAATCTACTCAACTATACTCAACTACCTATTTTTAAATGCTCCTGAATATTGCTACCTAAATATTCCTACTATTAATTAGTAAAAAGAATATGATTATTTACATATTTCTCCATGTTTTTGCATGCTTTTACCTACATACTCCTCTATGTTTGTTCCTATTGCTTCTTACCCACCAATTTCTTTCTACTTATTTCTACAAGTATCTTCATATTTGTAATAATTTGACAAAGATAATATTTAATAATGTAACTATAAATGCTAGTTATAAACTGGTCTAATCTGACAAAGGTAATAATGTAACTAGAAATGCTAGTTATAAACTGGTCTAATCTGACAAAGATAATAATGTAACTATAATGGCTGGTTATTAAGTGGTCTATGCTCAAGTTATAATTGAAATTAGTAAGAATGTTCTTGCTTTCAAAATGTCAATTCAAATTATATTTAATCAATGGAGACATGTAAACTGTAGGCACTACATCATGACCTAATGACAAAATGAATCAAATGAATTATAGTTGAAACATTTTATTGAACATTTTAAAAAAATTATTGAATATACTGTGTCTGCAATAAGTCATTTCTTAATATGCCTTAAGTCATGTTTTAAATATTCAAAATAAAAAACTACTGAGATCAAGTAATTGTTAATGGCTGAAAAAAAAAAAGGTCAACAAATAATCTAATAATAGGGCTAATAATTAATTTGTTCCCTTGAAATACTGATTATCAAATAGTTCATAAATAGTTTACTAATATCTGGTTGTTTCATTATTGTTACAACCTTGCTTCCTTGATCGTCACAAATGTTACGATGTAACAAACTTCCCCAGTAGACGCATTTACTGCTTGGCAATTTTATAGGCCCTTAGTCGTCTAAGACGACAACTGTATACTAAAGTTTGCTTAACTTGCCTGTCACACCTGGTCCACAAATAAGAACAAACAACAGCATCCAATGAAGATAACAATAACAATTCTTTATTTACAGGATCCAATCACAGCAACTGTCAGTTTACAACATTCAATGAAGATAACATTTGCCTATCATGCAAGCTAACTGCAAACTTTCTCTCACTCTCTGATCTCTTCTCAACTCTTATCTTTTCTTGACTATCACGATCTATTAACACACTGCCTTTTATATCTCTACACAACAAACACTCCGCGTACCGTAAAGCTCAACACCACAAACCAAATTCACGATCTGACCTCACGACTTACAACTCACAATAACACTCTCACGATTAACAACTCCCCCTACCAAATGTTTACAACAATATAGTTCACAACAATTATTATTCGCCGTTTCCATTAGCCTTAAAATAATCAACCAGTTTCCTCATTGTCACATGGAAAAGTCCAATCCTTAAATGAACTGGACTTTCTTGATAGTGCTACTTCTACCAAACACAATTAGGTCTTTGGAAACATAACATTTTTGGTGCAAATTTATTCCAGGTGGAAGAGGTCCCTGACCCGATACGAGTATTTGAATTCCTTACCTTAGAAGATGAAACTGAGATCACAAGGAAGGACATTCTCAGCTTGCCCCACGAAGCACTTCAGAAGATTGCAGACATCTTCAACAGTGCCTACAAAGATATTGACAGATATGCAGACAAAGAAAAATCAGAAAACAATGAAGACAATATCAAACGTTATCGACATGAAGAGTTTTAGTTTTTTAAAATACATCATTGTGTACTTAATGCAGGGTGCTGTCAAGGATCTGCTTCAGCTTTCGTAGCTGTCATCTCTGTTGTGTAAAATAGGAACAAAGTTTTGGTAGGCACCAAAGGATTTTGTAATAACTCGGCTATGGAAGGTTTTTGAATGGTCAAAAAAAGAACTGAAAGAGAATGAGATTGTGATATAAATGTAGCATGACATTTAGACTGTTGCAATATTATGAGTTCAAAGTTTGAGGTAAAATATTATTTTATAACTAAATCTTGACACTAAAAATCTATTTTGTAAATTTCCTTTTAGAAATTCTTGTCATAATCTTTCTTTTTCCATTTCTATTTTACATTTTACAATGATTAATCAACAACAAAAAATTAAAGTTTAACTTCTTCTACAAAAATATATTCAATAACTGATAGATCTATACAAAATGGATTAATAAACTATCAAGAATTTTAAAACTGTTTTTTAAATAACACTTTATCATTAACATATTCACATTACTAATCATTTTAATATGCCCCCAATTTTAATAATTCTGCATTCATTTTACTTTGCATTTCTTCCATTTTTTTGTGTATTTAAAGAGGTAATGTTTTTGTTTGTATCCAAAGAGGTAATGTTTTTGTTTGTATCCAAAGAGGTAATGTTTTTGTTTGTATCCAAAGAGGTTATGTTTTTGTTTGTATCCAAAGAGGTAATGTTTTTGTTTGTATCCAAAGAGGTAATGTTTTTGTTTGTATCCAAAGAGGTAATGTTTTTGTTTGTATCCAAAGAGGGAATGTTTTTGTTTGTATCCAAAGAGGTTATGTCTTTGTTCATTGTTACTGTATGTTGTTACATACAATGTATGTTCATTGTTACTGTATGTTCATTGTTGCTGTATGTTCATAGTTACCGTATGGGTATAAGTGTCTTTATTGTATATGCAACAAATCTAATGAATGACCATTTATGTATAAGCGCCCTGCTGTCTGTCAGCAATGCCTTATTGATTGTCATAAAATTATGTAGTATATACAAAAGATTAAATAATTTGATCTGCTGATTTGTTTCAAAGCTCAAATAAAAAAATTAGCTTATAGCCCACAACTGTTTTTAAAGTTCAAATCAACAATTGGCTTATAGCCCACAACTGTTTCAAAGTCCAAATCAACAATTAACTTATAGCCCACAACTGTTTCAAAGTCCAAATCAAGAGTTAGCTTATAGCCCACAACTGTTTCAAAGTCTAAATCAACAATTAACTTATAGCCCACAACTGTTTCAAAGTCCAAATCAACAATTAACTTATAGCCCACAACTGTTTTTAAAGTTCAAATCAACAATTGGCTTATAACCCACAACTGTTTCAAAGTCCAAATCAACAATTAGCTTATAGCCCACAACTGTTTCAAAGTCCAAATCAACAATTAGCTTATAGCCCACAACTGTTTCAAAGTCCAAATCAAGAGTTAGCTTATAGCCCACAACTGTTTTTAAAGTTCAAATCAACAATTAGCTTATAGCCCACAACTGTTTCAAAGTCCAAATCAACAATTAGCTTATAGCCCACAACTGTTTTTAAAGTTCAAATCAACAATTAGCTTATAGCCTACAACTGTTTCAAAGTTCAAATTACTTTAACTTCAATCCCAGTTACTTAATTTTACTTCAGTTACTTTCTTTAACTTCATTACTTACTTTAACCTCAATCACAATTACTTACTTTAACTTCAATCACAATTACTTTTTTTTACTTAAATCCCAATAACTTACATTTACTTAATTTAATTACTTTAACTTCAATTACTCACTTTTACTTGAATCCTAATGACTTACTTTAACTTCCATATCAATTACTTACTTTAAATTAAATCCCAATTAATTAATGTAACTTCAAACCCAATTACTTACTTTTACTTCAGTTACTTACATTTACTTTAATAACTTACTTAACTTCAATTACTTATGTTAACTTCAATCCCAATTACTTACTTTTTCTTCAATTTAAATTACTTACTTTAAATTCAGTCCAAATGAATTACTTTTACTTCAATTACTTACATTAACTTCAATTTCAATCCAAAAAATGGCCTACTTACTTTTACTTCAGTTACTTTTATTTCAAATTACTTTCTTTAACTTAAATGCCAAATACTTAGCACTGTTACTTTTATTTCAATTATTTATGTTTTTTTAAATCCCAATTACTTACATTTACTTCAATTTCAATTCATTTTACTTACTTTTAATTTGAAACGCACTTTCTAATCTGGGGCTATCCATAAAGGACTAAACGCATCTAGGGGGCTATGGTGGTGAAGAACTTGTGACAATGTATATGTTCTGAATGTCTAAATGACATCACTCATCTAGGTGGCTATGGTGGTGAAGAACTTGTGACAATGTATGTGTTCTGAATGTCCAAATGACGTCACTCATCTAGGTGGCTATGGTGGTGAAGAACTTGTGACAATGTATATGTTCTGAATGTCTAAATGACATCACTCATCTAGGTGGCTATGGTGGTGAAGAACTTGTGACAATGTATGTGTTCTGAATGTCCAAATGACGTCACTCATCTAGGTGGCTATGGTGGTGAAGAACTTGTGACAATGTATATGTTCTGAATGTCTAAATGACATCACTCATCTAGGTGGCTATGGTGGTGAAGAACTTGTGACAATGTATGTGTTCTGAATGTCCAAATGACGTCACTCATCTAGGGGGCTATGGTGGTGAAGAATTTGTGACAATGTATGTGTTCTGAATGTCCAAATGATGTCACTCATTTAGGGTGCTATGGTGGTGAAGAACTTGTGACAATGTATGTGTTCTGAATGTCCAAATGACGTCACTCATCTAAGGGGCTATGGTGGTGAAGAACTTGTGACAATGTATGTGTTCTGATTGTCCAAATGACGTCACTCATCTAAGGGACTATGGTGGTGAAGAACTAGTGACTATGTATGTGTTCTGAATGTCTAAATGACGTCACTCATCTAGGGGGCTATGGTGGTGAAGAACTTGTGACAATGTATGTGTTCTGAATGTCCAAATGACGTCACTCATCTAGGGGGCTATGATGGTGAAGAACTTGTGACAATGTATGTGTTCTGAATGTCTAAATGACGTCACTCATCTAGGGGGCTATGGTGGTGAAGAATTTGTGACAATGTATGTGTTAGGAGTGTGTCTAAATTGTGTGTTAAATAAGTGACCGAAATGGGTGGGGGGGTCAACATAGCGTCACGTTATATATGCCCACCCACTTGAACTATAAACATGTGAGCCAACATAACCTACTGATATGAGGTGACGAAAAAACATCATCAGTTTTTGTTTAATACAAATCATTGTAACAAAACCTATACATTATTTGAAAGTGTAATCCTCCACCAAACTATAATACAAATGTGTTGTGTTTTTTTTTTTCGTTTTTCCTTTTGTTTGTTTTAAACGCGTTAAAAGACGTTTGTTCTGGTCATCCACAGCCAAAGACTTTTTTTGTTCTGGTCATCCACAGCCAAAAAGACGTTGTTTGTTCAGTTTATCCACAACCAAAGATGATGTTTGTTCTGTTTACCCACAGCCAAAGACGTTGTTTGTTCTGTTTATCCACAGCCAAAGACGTTGTTTGTTCTGTTTATCCACAGCCAAAGACGTTGTTTGTTCTGTTTATCCACAGCCAAAGACGTTGTTTGTTCTGTTTATCCACAGCCAAAGACGCTGTTTGTTCTGTTTATCTACAGCCAAAGACGTTGTTTGTTCTGTTTATCCACAGCCAAAGACGTTCTTTGTTCTGTTTATCCACAGCCAAAGACGATGTTTGTTCTTTTTATTCACAGCCAAAGACGTTGTTTGTTCTGTTTATCCATAGCCAAAGACGATGTTTGTTCTGTTTATCCACAGCCAAAGACGTTGTGTTCTTGAGCCAGCTTGAAAGGATCAGTACTTGAAGAAATAGTGCACTTGAGTTTTATCAGGCTGACACCATGCCTGCTTATAAATAGCTGCAAGTTGGTTGCGAATACAAAGAGCTCACAGCCACTTTACTCCTACTGCACATTTCCGAGGATGATTTCCGAGATATTGCAAAGTTCGCTGTCACAAAGGCTTGTTGGGGTCAGCAGGGGCAGACTTAACTTTCCCGCCACTCTGGGCAAACATTTCATCTGCCCGCCATCTTTAGTTTGAATAATAGTTTCTCATTATACCAACAGCCGCCCCACCTTAGTCAACTGGAACAGTCCAAAGGACAAAGCTACCAATTACATAACAACTGAAAAAAGTATGCTACTTCAATTTAAACCAGTGGTTCTCAACGTAGGTAGTCTTGCCCCCAGGGGGCGATGGGACGCATAGTAGATTCAGTCAAAAAGTACAAAGTAATGAATAGATTTAATAGACATCAATCAAACAGTACAAAGTCATGAATAGACATCAATCAAAACAATACAAAGTCATGAATAGACATCAATCAAACAGTACAAAGTCATGAATAGACATCAATCAAACAGTACAAAGTCATGAATAGACATCAATCAAACAGTACAAAGTCATGAATAGACATCAATCAAACAGTACAAAGTCATGAATTAACAGTCAAACAGTACACATTAATAAATAGAAATCAGTCAAGAAGTACAAAGTCATGGATAGACATCAGTCAAACAGTACGTACAAAGTTATGATAAACATCAGTCAAACAGTACAAAGTTTTGCTAACTGCTTTCCTGATTTTAAAAGAATTTGTTTTGTTGGTATCACAGGAGGCGCTAGGGGTTGGTCTATTGTTCCAAGGGTGCAATGGCTGAAATAGTTTGAGAACCATTGATTTAAACCATAGCACTGTGACGTTTCTTTGCTTCGTGATACTTGCAGGTCAGTGACCTTTGAGATTTTTTATGGTGATTTTCCACGTCGAAACCCAACGAAATGGCAGCACACATTAATTTTAATTAAGTTATAAATAGATAGGAAGTTTTTTTGTTTTTTAGGGGGGGGGTGTCACGATGCCGTCAAATCAGTGCCGCCTTATAGCATAAAATGTATCTTGCCTGTATCTTAATTCAAATATTTATTTTTGGCACAGTTTTTCTCTCGGCGCGATACTGCACAGGAGCGCCCCCCCCCCCCCCCCCCCCGATTTTCTAACATCGACAGGACGAGTTAATCTCTTACAAACTGAGCTTGGATCTGAGACGAAATTCAAACTTGGCGAGGTGCTGGTGAAAAGCCCGCTATTTTATCGGTTCCGTTACAGTATGTTCAAACCGTTCTTTGACCATTTAATTAATCAATTATTGTATCATACCATAAATCAGTTATGTTACACATATATTTCATTAATTCTGTCACCATATTACTGTAACATATTTTATTGTATCATACCATAAATCAGTTATGTTACACATATATTTCATTAATTCTGTTACCATATTACTGTAACATATTTTATTGTATCGTAACATAAATCAGTTATGTTACACATATATTTCATTAATTCTGTCACCATATTACTGTAACATATTTTATTGTATCCTAACATAAATCAGTTATGTTACACATATATTTCATTAATTCTGTTTGGTATAATGACATTGTATAAAATAACATAGGATTGTATTTAGTCAATACTTACACATATATTTCATTAATTCTGTTACCATATTACTGTAACATATTTTATTGTATCCTAACATAAATCAGTTATGTTACACATATATTTCATTAATTCTGTTACCATATTACTGTAACATATTTTATTGTATCCTAACATAAATCAGTTATGTTACACATATATTTCATTAATTCTGTTACCATATTACTGTAACATATTTTATGTATCCTAACATAAATCAGTTATGTTACACATATATTTTATTAATTCTGTTACCATATTACTGTAACATATTTTATTGTATCCTAACATAAATCAGTTATGTTACACATATATTTCATTAATTCTGTTACCATATTACTCAAAACAAAAAAACAACAAACAATTCGGTTACATTCGATGAATTAACGTTCGATTTACCGTCCATATAAAACTGATCACTTCACGACTGTGACACTCTGACCCGGTGCACTGGACCTTGGAGCAAGATGTTGTTTACAAAACACTTTCATCAGAGGGACAGCCCGCCAAGAAAGAAAACTCAAGTGCTCAGTTATGTTACAAAGTACGAGAGCCACTTGCCCAAATTTCTCACATACCGTAACACTTAAGATATCTGTGGCCATTCCAAAATCTCTCACATACTGTAAGATATCTGTGGCCATTCCAAAACCTCTCACATACTGTAAGATATACGTGGCCATTCCAAAACCTCTCACATACTGTAGGATGTACGTGGCCATTCCAAAACCTCTCACATACTGTAAGATATATGTGGCCATTCCAAAAGCTCTCACATACTGTAAGATATACGTGGCCATTCCAAAACCTCTCACATACTGTAAGATATATGTGGCCATTCCAAAACTTCTCACATACTGTAAGATATATGTGGCCATTCCAAAAGCTCTCACATACTGTAAGATATACGTGGCCATTCCAAAATCTCTCACATACTGTAAGATATACGTGGCCATTCCAAAACCTCTCACATACTGTAAGATATACGTGGCCATTCCAAAACCTCTCACATACTGTAAGATATACGTGGCCATTCCAAAACCTCTCACATACTGTAAGATATCTGTGGCCATTCCAAAACCTCTCACATACTGTAAGATATACGTGGCCATTCTAAAACCTCTCACATACTGTAAGATATCTGTGGCCATTCCAAAACCTCTCACATACCGTAAGACTTTAGATACCTGTGATGCACTTAAGTTGCGATCATTTTGAAACTAATTAACACCGTGCATTTATTCTCTTAATATAATAGGAACAACGCATAAGTCTAATGTTGGAATTATTTGGGGCTTGATAAATTGTCTCATAATATAACAAAGAACAACGCATAAGACTTAGTCTAATGTTGGAATTATTTGGTCTTGATAAATTGTCTCATAATATAACAAAGAACAACGCATAAGACTTAGTCTAATGTTGGAATTATTTGGTCTTGATAAATTGTCTCATAATATAACAAAGAACAACGCATAAGACTTAGTCTAATGTTGGAATTTGTTGAGCTTGATAAATGGTGTAAAATAATATTTATAAAATTGACAGATATGATTCATCTAGTTGTATTATTCTTGTTGTTATGTTGATACGTTTAAATTTTTAGGGAGAGAGAAAGGGGTGAGAGATAAAGAAGGGAGAGAGAGAAAGAGGGGGAGAGGGAGGGATGAAATAGAGAGGAGAGAGAGAAAGGGGATAGAGAGAAAAGCTTATGGTAAATACAATTCATTTCACTGTATTTCGAAATATTGCTAACACGGAATAAAAAAGATTCAGACCGACAACTCACACAAAGACAAGCACCAACAACACATTCATCTTCAACAAACAGAAATAATATTGCTCTTAACTCAATGCAATCGGGGCTTTCATTTTATATTGGGATTACCATAGAATAGGTTTTTGTTGTGTTAGTCACGCCGAGAAATAAATTATTTTAAGAGTTTGTTGTTGAGTGTCTAACAGCAAGTCTTACCGTAGACATTGTGATGAGTTTGTTGTTGAGTGTCTAACAGCAAGTCTTACCGTAGACATTGTGATGAGTTTGTTGTTGAGTGTCTAACAGCAAGTCTTACCGTAGACATTGTGATGAGTTTGTTGTTGAGTGTCTAACAGCAAGTCTTACCGTAGACATTGTGATGAGTTTGTTGTTGAGTGTCTAACAGCAAGTCTTACCGTAGACATTGTGATGAGTTTGTTGTTGAGTGTCTAACAGCAAGTCTTACCGTAGACATTGTGATGAGTTTGTTGTTGAGTGTCTAACAGCAAGTCTTACCGTAGACATTGTGATGAGTTTGCTCTTTAAGTTCCGCATGACTCCAAGTGTTGCTAAATAGAGACATGATCATCATGGGATCAGGAGGCCAAATTTATACTCTGTGCTACTAACAACATGTGTGATCTAGTCCCAGAGAGCATGCGGCTATTCAATCGAAATCAACATTTGGTAATCTACCACCAATATCTGATGATCTTACCACAAGTAATATCTGGGGATTTAACCGCCATTAACATCTGGTGATCCAGCATCAGCCAACAAGTGACCATCAACATTTAGGATCTGATTAAAACCGTGTTGACAGTGCATTTACAATTACTTAGAGAAAACTCGTTGACGAATAGCGTGTGAACTGGGGCAACATTTTGCTATTGGAATGTTTGTGAATGTGTTGAAAGGTATCAGCAGCAAATGTGATATAAATGTGATATTAATATGATATAATTGTTACTGCCATTTAAAGACATGAGGCTTCAAACGAAGTTTAAACTCTATCAGTTCTTTTCTTGTAATGTATTTCATGGAGATTGGTAACGAAATATTAATAAGGAGATTGGTCACGAATTATTCCAAAATGACGTCACTGGGGAATACTTCTGATATCACCAACCCTCGGGCTTATTTACAAAGTCTGAATGCACAGTTTGCTGCTGTCGTTTTACCGGCGGTGGTGGTTCTTGGCGTGTTGATGGTGACGGGTGCTGTGGGCAATGTCATCGTGTTGTACGTGTACACCTGGAGGATGAAAGCAGGAACGATCACTCGGTACATCCAGGCTCTAGCCGTCTTTGACTTGTTCAGTTGCTGCCTAGCTATCCCGGGTAAGCCTTATTGTATCACATCTCATTCAGCTATAACCACATCTCATTCAGCTATAACCACATCTCATATAGCTATAACCACATCTCATTCAGCTAAAACCACATCTCATACAATCAGGGGCGTCAACAGGGGGCTGCATACCGCACCGGGTGACACCCTCGTGGGGGGGGGGGAAGACATCCAATAAAAAATTTCAAATTCGATCCAGTCTGTTTCATAACAGAACTCATTTAAATACAAGAATAGCGTGACATCAGACTATGATGTCACAATGGCTGAGTGCCATCAGATTATTGTGCCACCATGGCATACTGATATCAGAATTTGGTGTCACCATAGCAGAGAGACATCAAAATATGATTTTATTTAATGCAGTCTTTAATTTGTGCTGATCTCCTGGATCTTGACAACGCACTCTAGAGCTGAGCATCTTAGAAAACTGCTGTATGTAGATCAATATCGACGTGATCAAATGTTTGCCATTGTGATTAGTTTATTGTGAAATAAAGCTTCAATTATGGAAATATGTCATTGTGATTAGTTTACTATGATGCAAAAGCTTCAACTATGGAAATATGTCATTGTGATTAGTTTAGTATGATGCAAAAGCTTCAATTATGGGAATTTGTCATTGTGATTAGTTTACTATGATGCAAAAGCTTCAACTATGGGAATTTGTCATTGTGATTAGTTTACTATGATGCAAAAGCTTCAATTATGGGAATTTGTCATTGTGATTAGTTTACTGTGATGCAAAAGCTTCAACTATGGAAATATGTCATTGTGGTTAGTTTAGTATGATGCAAAAGCTTAAATTATGGGAATTTGTCATTGTGATTAGTTTACTATGATGCAAAAGCTTCAACTATGGGAATTTGTCATTGTGATTAGTTTACTATGATGCAAAAGCTTCAAATATGGGAATTTGTCGATGAGTTAATATAAACAGTAGTGTTGTAGAAATGGAGCCTCTGTGGTTCTCAGAAAGAAAACAATATGAATAAGAATGCACTCTGAAATTATTTTATTTGTTAAAAATTCTTTCTTTAAATTGTGCTGTAGTCAAATCCTTTCTTTAAATTGCGCTATAGTCAAATCCTTTCTTTAAATTGTGCTGTAGTCAAATCCTTTCTTTAAATTGCGCTGTAGTCAAATCCTTTCTTTAAATTGCGCTATAGTCAAATCCTTTCTTTGAATTGCGCTGTAGTCAAATCCTTTCTTTAAATTGCGCTGTAGTCAAATCCTTTCTTTAAATTGTGCTGTAGTCAAATCCTTTCTTTAAATTGTGCTGTAGTCAAATCCTTTCTATAAATTGCGCTATAGTCAAATCCTTTCTTTAAATTGTGCTGTAGTCAAATCCTTTCTTTAAATTGCGCTATAGTCAAATCCTTTCTTTGAATTGCGCTATAGTCAAATCCTTTCTTTTAATTGCGCTGTAGTCAAATCCTTTCTTTAAATTGCGCTATAGTCAAATCCTTTCTTTGAATTGCGCTATAGTCAAATCCTTTCTTTGAATTGCGCTATAGTCAATTCCTTTCTTTAAATTGCGCTGTAGTCAAATCCTTTCTTTAAATTGCGCTATAGTCAAATCCTTTCTTTAAATTGTGCTGTAGTCAAATCCTTTCTTTAAATTGCGCTATAGTCAAATCCTTTCTTTGAATTGCGCTATAGTCAAATCCTTTCTTTAAATTGCGCTATAGTCAAATCCTTTCTTTAAATTGCGCTGTAGTCAAATCCTTTCTTTAAATTGCGCTGTAGTCAAATCCTTTCTTTAAATTGTGCTGTAGTCAAATCCTTTCTTTAAATTGTGCTGTAGTCAAATCCTTTCTTTAAATTGCGCTATAGTCAAATCCTTTCTATAAATTGCGCTATAGTCAAATCCTTTCTTTAAATTGTGCTGTAGTCAAATCCTTTCTTTAAATTGTGCTGTAGTCAAATCCTTTCTTTAAATTGCGCTGTAGTCAAATCCTTTCTTTAAATTGTGCTGTAGTCAAATCCTTTCTTTAAATTGTGCTGTAGTCAAATCCTTTCTTTAAATTGCGCTATAGTCAAATCCTTTCTATAAATTGCGCTGTAGTCAAATCCTTTCTTTAAATTGCGCTATAGTCAAATCCTTTCTTTGAATTGCGCTATAGTCAAATCCTTTCTTTGAATTGCGCTATAGTCAAATCCTTTCTTTGGTTACGCATTAGAATAGCGATGAATCCATGATTCAGAAGCAGAAAGTGGGGGGCGGGGGGGAGGGGGGGCATCCTGATGGAGTTTGTTGATTCAGGAACTCTACTGGATGGTTCTGAGATCAGAACATCCCTTTAGTCTTCTGAGACCAGTGAACCAGATATTTAATAGATTCCGACACGTCTTGTTGTCATATATGTGAGCTTTCGATGCATCTCCAGCGTTCGTTGATTGGTTGACACTTTCATAACACGCTTCACCAAATCTTCGCTTTCATGACACGCTTCACCAATTCTTCGCTTTCATGACACACTTCACCAAATCTTCGCTTTCATGACATGCTTCACCAATTCTTCGCTTTCATGACACGCTTCACCAAATCTTCACTTTCATGACACGATTCACCAAATCTTCGCTTTCATGACACGCTTCACCAATTCTTCGCTTTCATGACACGCTTCACCAAATCTTCGCTTTCATGACACACTTCACCAAATCTTCGCTTTCATGACACACTTCACCAAATCTTCACTTTCATGACACGCTTCACCAAATCTTCGCTTTCATGACACGCTTCACCAATTCTTCGCTTTCATGACACGCTTCACCAAATCTTCGCTTTCATGACACACTTCACCAAATCTTCACTTTCATGACACGCTTCACCAAATCTTCGAGTGACATTTTAAGGAATTCGATTTCTGTCAAATAAAGCCAACGTTCTATGAGTATTTTTAAGAATTCCATTTAGAAAAAGGGAGTAAATTTTGAGACTACTGAACACAACTTTGCACACTGTTGGTGCAGTTATCGGGAATATGCTGTGCGCTAATGAAATCCGCGTAATATGATGATATTCAATTTGCTTTATATATCTGTTTAGGTCCGCCTATGACCTGTGATGCACCCTCCTTGCCCTGCCTCATTTTCTGTCTCGGGTCGATCCTGTAGTATAGGCCAAAACGTGCCAAAGTGTCCCCGTTTTATAGCCATTTTAATTGTTTCTATAGTATAGTAGTTACTATCCTAGTGTCTCATTTTTATTTTACTTAGTTTACATGTTTTTAATAATTGTAAAGCGCTTAGAGCTTTAAGGTAAGCGCTATATAAAAATGCCTTAAAAAATAAATAAATAAATGTAACTAGCTATAGATATAACCCGTTAAAAATGACGAAGTCCTTCAGAAATAAATATATTTTTTCCATCCCGAAATTTAAAATATATAGATACTTAATATCCGATAAGTTGGCCTACATTAGACCTATATGCACATTTCTAGTCCAAAACGACGGTCTTTTTCATTAATTTAATATATAGTTTAGACTTTGGTGACCCCTTCTTTAGACTTTGGTGACCCCTTCTTTAGACTTTGGTGACCCCTTCTTTAGACTTTGGTGACCCCTTCTTTAGACTTTGGTGACCCCTTCTTTAGACTTTGGTGACCCCTTCTTTAGACTTTGGTGACCCCTTCTTTAGACTTTGGTGACCCCTTCTTTAGACTTTGGTGACCCCTTCTTTAGACTTTGGTGACCCCTTCTTTAGACTTTGGTGACCCCTTCTTTAGACTTTGGTGACCCCTTCTTTAGACTTTGGTGACCCCTTCTTTAGACTTTGGTGACCCCTTCTTTAGACTTTGGTGACCCCTTCTTTAGACTTTGGTGACCCCTTCTTTAGACTTTGGTGACCCCTTCTTTAGACTTTGGTGACCCCTTCTTTAGACTTTGGTGACCCCTTCTTTAGACTTTGGTGACCCCTTCTTTAGACTTTGGTGACCCCTTCTTTAGACTTTGGTGACCCCTTCTTTAGACTTTGGTGACCCCTTCTTTAGACTTTGGTGACCCCTTCTTTAGACTTTGGTGACCCCTTCTTTAGACTTTGGTGACCCCTTCTTTAGACTTTGGTGACCCCTTCTTTAGACTTTGGTGACCCCTTCTTTAGACTTTGGTGACCCCTTCNTATCGGGAATTATATTTTGTGCGCTAGTGAACTCATTATTTAACCACACTCTGGCGTATCTATATATAGCCTGCATGGTGGTGTTTGACCTTTGCTGGCGAATTATATATTAAAACAAACTTTCTTTCTTGATATCACGAAAATGGTTTTAAGAATTGTGGTGTGGACATAATATGTCCAATATGCATAGTCTGAAAATGTTAAGGTTTTTCAAACATTGTCAATCTTAAAAAAAATATGTGTATGTGTTCAATAACGGTTTGTCCAAAGGTTGTATCTCTTAGCGTTACAGCCATACCAAAGGTTGTATCTCTTAGTGTTACAGCCAAACCAAAGGTTGTTTCTCTTAGCGTTACAGCCATACCAAAGGTTGTTTCTCTTACCGTTACAGCCATATAGGTTTTTTCTCTTAGCGTTACGGCCATACCCAAGATTGTTTCTCTTACCGCTACAGCCATACCCAAGGTTGTATCTCTTAGTGTTACAGCCATACCAAAGGTTGTTTCTCTTAGCGTTACAGCCATACCAAAGGTTGTTTCTCTTAGCGTTACAGCCATACATTCATATTACATGACTCATTTAAATGCGCTTCTTTTGAAAAAAAAAAAAAAAAAAAAAAAAAAATCAACCTAATGCAGAAATAACATGTGTATTTTTAATGACTTAGCGTAGAATGGATACACACCTACGTCACATAAACTTGGAGTAAGTTTTGTAGCCATTGATAAATATTGCTATCATATACATGTATGCATGTTTCGTAATAGTCATTTGTGTGTGTTCAAACAGGGGAGATTATTGACATGACCAACAATTACACGTTTGGAGCAAATCCACTTTGTCAGACGGTTAGGACGATCAATCTGTTTTGTACCATGGCCTCGGGCAGTATACTCATAGTGGTAGCCATAGACAGGTAAGGTTCATATTCATATACGTTAATAGGATAAGAAATTTGTGGATTAACTTTATATATGATATTCAACATATGCCATGCGTCACGCGTCTAAAAGGGAGGGGGGGGGGTGTCACATCTGTGTGACAATGTGTGACTAGAGGAGGTTAATTAAGCTATGTGACGTCACATTTAGAGGGGAACATTCTTGAAAAAAAATACACCTAGTGACACTTCATTGCAGACTTTTTTAACATTATTATTTTGTACAATAATTATAATTATATTATTGTTAAACTAAGATCACTGAGAGAATCAGTGCAGGTATCAGTGCAAGTATCAGTGCAGGTATCAGTGCAGGTATCAGTGCAGGTATCAGTGCAGGTATCAGTGCAGGTATCAGTGCAGGTATCAGTGCAGGTATCAGTGCAGGTATCAGTGCAGGTATCAGTGCAGGTATCAGTGCAGGTATCAGTGCGTGGTCCGAGAAATTGCATCGGATCAAGTTACAGGACGCCATGGAGGAGGAGAATCGGTGTCGGGTGACTTTGACAGTGGACTCAGTAGTGAGAATTTAAGCTGAAATGTGGAGACGGGAATCATAGAATTGGGGCTACCACGTGAAGTGAAATGGAACGAAAAATAATTGACTGGGGTATGAGATCTTAATAAATGTTCTAGGGCAGAGATTCTAAACCTTTTTGTAGCGCTACCTTTAGGGAAATGTTTCTGACACAGGTGCAGTAATTTCTAACTTTTTGTGACGATGGTATGGGGGGGGGGGATTTGGCAAAATTTGCGTGTTGTCATTTATGGATTTAGGGTACCAGGCAAAGGGGGCAAATATAAAGACCTTTAAACCTACGAGTTGTCCTAAGGGGCCGATGATCGGTTGCTTCTATGGCTAAAAGGACAATCTGCAGTTACCAAAATTAATATTATAATGCGAATCTGACGTTTCACTATTATTAAAGGGGGGGAACTCTCAAAAACTAGTTTTATTTACTTCATATGGATTTTAAAAAAACGCACAAGAGAATGTTTTGTGTCTATACTTATATCATTTAGACCCATTACATTTAGACCCCTAGAATCAAGCAAGATGAAACATGTTAAAATATAATTAGGTGGATCGGCTAATGCCACTGGTTCAGAAAAAACTTAAATTATCAAAACAGAATAAAGGAAGGCAGTGGATATTTTGTCCAAAACTGAAAAGCTGACTCATTTCTTCACTCATCAAGATTATCAAGATGTTGAGTTCTACATGCTACAAAATAATTCAAAATATGAAGTAAATCTAGTGATGGAGAGTTGTCGGTTGATTTCTCTGCTGCTGATATAGCTTAATGAATTGTTCGTGGTCCCAAAGACTGTCAACACCATGCATGGCGGGGCATTTTGACAAGTCTTACCGTCATTTCAGTTGTGGCAAGCCAGGAATTTACTACTCACAGAAACATTTCATTGGAACAAAAACCAATGAGACTTTCAAGAGAGATTTTGGTTATTTATTTTATCCATCATCACGAGGTCAGTCTTATGATAGTGCTCCTTACATGTGAAACAAATCAATTTGCTATGCATGTACAATGTACAGCCCCCCATATGTATGTACATTGTACAGCCTTCATATGTATGTACACTGTACAGCCCATTAAATTCATTAAATCTAATTGACCGGATCCCTGTTGACAGATGCAGTTAATTTTTTCTCAATCATTTTAGAAGCACTTGATTGTGTACATTGTACAGCCTTCATATGTATGTACACTGTACAGCCCATTAAATTCATTAAATCTAATTGACCGGATCCCTGTTGACAGATGCAGTTAATTTTTTCTCAATCATTTTAGAAGCACTTGATTGTGTAATCAGAATCAAAAGGGAGATACTTGATAAGCAAATAATATTTATAAATTCTACTGAATGAGGATGTGAACTTAAAAACATATGCATAGCTCTATGAATCATAAGGTGATCAACTGTGTTCTTCATCAGATCATTAAAAAAAAATATGAAGCAGCTACTAATAAAGAGATATACCCGATGGGAATTACAAGCTAACTCTAAAATTTAACAGCCCAAATAAGGCGATGGGCCAGAAGTACACCTAAGCCTAAATGCAAGAGACAAATTTTGCATAAATACCTTTGATCAAATTACTGATACAATGCAAACTGAGATGAGAAGACGAGGAAAAGGAAATAAAATAATAGCAGAGATTTTTACATACTAATTCAATTGTGTGCCACATACTATCGGTATCGACTCATTATCATCTGAAAGTGACATGAATTTTAGTGTTGTGAAAATAGAAGACGAGGAAAAGGAAATAAAATAATAGCAGAGATTTTTACATACTAATTCAATTGTGTGCCACATACTATCGGTATCGACTCATTATCATCTGAAAGTGACATGAATTTTAGTGTTGTGAAAAACTTATAGGAGCCAGAATGATCAATACATTGATCGTGGGCCCTCAAAATATAGAAGAAGAAGAACGTATTAATGCTTTCACTTTCAGTACAAGTTCTGTTTATCTCAATAAAGGTTTATTTTATGGTTCACATTTCTTGATATTTTGAGTTAGATATAATATGGAGGCACCAAAATTTTAAAGTGCTTAGGGTCTCTAAGGGTTTTGATCCTGACATTATAATTATACTAGTTACTGGTCCAAATTTATGAGATAATATATTTCAGGAATAAGAAAAATTGCTTTATTAAAATGCTTCCTGCTTCACTGATGATTAAAGACTTGATAAATAATTACAATTAAATAATTACAATTAAGCTCTTGGCGTGCATTTATTTTCATCCTATAAAGGTGAGGCAAAGGTCATGAAAAAGGAAGAAGACATTAACAAATTATTATAGTGTTTTTCGATAATTTAATTCTTTTTCAACAACTAGACAAATAATAACTGCAATATCTTTAACAGATATAAAAGAATTTGCTGTCCATTAAAGAGACAGATCACACCTCGATGTGCTCTGGTCATCATTGTGCTTTGTGCTGGTATTGCTCTTTTCTTCTCACTGCCCACAGCCGTTATGTTTGGTGGCAGGACCATCACTACTGATGTTCCAAATATCAATGGGACCGACTGCTCTGTTAATGACAGGTAAGAATTCAATTGCAGATGGGTAGGTAACAAGGTGGATGGGGAATGTATGTAAAGTTAAATGTCAAATTTCCATGCTGTGTATGCAGTTAGGTATTTATACACTATATGTATGTTGACATTTGTGCTACCATGATGTCAATAGAAGTGTTTTCATTGTCAAATGTTTTGTTTATAAAAACAAAAAGCTATCTAGCAAAGTAGAAATATTCCTTAACTTCATAGGTCGTGTCATGTTTATAAAAACAATTACTTATTTAGCAAATTAGAAATGTTCCTCAACTTTATAGGTCAAGTCATGTTTAAAAAAACAATAAATCATTTAGCAAAGTAGAAATATTCCTAACTTCCTTGGTCAAAGCTGCAAATTTTGATTCATCAATATTCAATTTCTATTTGAAAAACCACCTTCACACTCAGGCCTTAGCTTTACTCTATATTTTTTTAAGTATTGTGTTCTAGACAAAGATATGTATGTGGGTCAAGGCAGCCGATAGGCACATTGTTACCTGTAACCAGAAAGTGTTGTGGACCCAATGTTATAGTGAACATAAGCTGACTTTGTTTTAGGTATGTGACCACCATCTTACCCTTGGCTTACAGTAGTGTGCAGATGTTCCTCTTCCTGGTCGGAGCCATCATCCTCATTGTTCTCTACACTCTTATTGCCAAAAGAATATTTCACCACGCCCATCTTCGACAACGTCGGCGTTCAAGTGTCATTATCGGCAGGTCCAAACCGCTTGGTGCTAGTACTTCAGTGTGTTCATCCCCAACCCCTGACAACAATGACCAGCAGTTTAACATATTCTCCTACAGTAATAATAATAACAACAGTGATTTCAGGCCAAACTTGAGCTCGGGTCAAGAAGATCCTAAATCAATGGATGTTGTTCAAATGAAAACCTCAAACATTCTGGATAATATTAAGTGCGCTGGTAATTCAAAGGTCATAGATCATGACCAGTTGGTCAGGGCAGGAAAAGAGATTCAGAATATCCCAAGTTTGTGTGAGCTTAATGCCACTGATGAACCAAACCGTACGATCTCAAAAACTCTGACGGATTCCGAAGAGGCTCACAAAATTGATGGCGCTGTTATGGACAATGACAGATGGATGAACAGAGGCACCTGTTACGATGACAATATAATAAAAATTCCCAGATTAGTTTTATTGCGTCGTCGAAGTTCTTTGACTGACCTAAAATCTGTAGCTCAGGTGAAACCAGATACAAAAGTTGGTTTGGCCTCTAAATCATTTCAAGTGTTACAAGATGGATTCTTGCCTTTTGAAGACAATCTGGGTGCTGCAGATCACATTTCTAAGCCCACAGATCACATTCATAAGCCCACAGATCACATTCCTAAGCCCACAGATCTCATTTCAGAAGATTCTTTCCTTCAAACATCATCTCAAACACTTCCTTATAAATTAGCCCATACGTCTCCCCATACGTCTCCTCCAGCCACACCTATCGAGGATCTTGACAACCCAAAACGTTGGCTTCTCACATCCCATTGTCATAATGGTGATCTTTTATGGAATCAAAGCCGGGCAGCGCCAGGCAGCCAATCACTTCACTCTAATGGAGCTGGTAGTAAAATTGACAGTCGTTTGATATTTTCAAATATAACAAACCATTCAGAGACAAATAAGATTGATAAAAGGCTCTTCAATGAAAGAACAAATGACTCAAACAAGATGTTTGAAATAGTGCAGATCAATAAAGTCACTGGTTGTGACAAGGTTAAAATTACAAGACACTCATTTATGACCGGGGCTTCCAAGCAAGCATTTGAATCCAGAAAAATAGTTGGATTTAATTATGCCATTAACAGACAATCTTCAGAAGAACGGATTTCTGGCGGGCAAGGTTAGTTTTTCAGTGTCTTCTTAATAATAAAAGAATGTAATAGTAACATGTGGGGCCCTTATCAGTTGGGCACTTATCAGTTGGGCACTTTTCAGTTGGGCACTTGTCAGTTGGGCACTTGTCAGTTGGGGATGTGAATAACAAGATTTGTCCTCTTCTCTACCCAAGAGATAAAATATTTGGATTGTTTCCTTAATCACAACATAGCCCCCCCCCCCCCCCATTTCAACCTCTTGAAGCCTAACCTCCTCAAAGTCCCACCACTTAAAAGCAAACAGTTCAACCTCACTATTTCATCCACCTCAACCTCACTACTCCATCCAACTCAATCTCACTACTCATCCAGCTCAACCTCACTACTCATCCAGCTCAACCTCACTACTCCATCCACCTCANTCTCACCTCCACCTCACTACTTCATCCACCTCACCCTCACTACTCATCCCGCTCCACCTCTCTCCTCCATCCACCTCAACCTCACTACTTCACCCACCTCAACCCCACTCCTCATCCAGCTCAACCTCACTACTCCATCCACCTCAACCTCACTACTCATCCAGCTCAACCTCACTACTCCATCCACCTCAACCTCACTACTCCATCCAACTCAATCTCACTACTCATCCAGCTCAACCTCACTACTCATCCAGCTCAACCTCACTACTCCATCCACCTAAACCTCACTACTTCATCCACCTCAACCTCACTACTCATCCAGCTCAACCTCACTACTTCATCCACCTCAACCTCACTACTCATCCACATCAATCTCACTACTCATCGAGCTCAATCTCACTACTCATCCAGCTCAACCTCACTACTAATGGACATCAACCTTACAAATCCATCCACCTAAACCTCACTACTCATCCAGCTCAACCTCACTACTCATCCAGCTCAACCTCACTACTCATCCAGCTCAACCTCACTACTCATCCAGCTCAACCTCACTACTCATCCACATCAATCTCACTACTCATCCAGCTCAATCTCACTACTCATCCAGCTCAACCTCACTACTCATGCACATCAACCTTACAACTCCATCCACCTCAACCTCACTACTCATCCAGCTCAACTCACAACTCATCCAGCTTAACCTCACTACTCCATCCACCTCAACCTAACTACTCATCCAGCTCAACCTCACTACTCATGCACATCAACCTTACAACTCCATCCAGCTCAACCTCACTACTCATCCAGTTCAACCTCACTGCTCATCCAGCTCAACCTCATTACTCCATCCACCTCAACCTAACTACTCATCCAGCTCAACCTCACTAACTCATGCACATCAACCTTACAACTCCATCCAGCTCAACCTCACTACTCCATCCAGCTCAACCTAACTACTCATCAAGCTCAACCTCACTACTCATCCAGCTCAACCTCACTACTCTGTAAAAGAACTCTATCATTGATTAGACTCTGTATGAGGACTCTACCCTTGAACATTAAATAAAAGGCTGCGGCTATTTGGACCCGAGTCCAAGAAGTTAGAGTTTGGGTTTATTAAAAAATATTTTAAAATTATTGAAGCTTTTTTAAGACAAAATTTGGTACCGGTATCAAATGAAAGATAATTGAATTGACTATATGTTTGTAAACTTATTTCTTAAGTTTAGCTGAAATAAACTACCTACAAATGACATCCGAATAGCATATAGTCAAAATGGAACCGGAAACGCATCGCCGCTATTTGGACCCGGGTCTCTTTAGACTCAATTAGACTTCTTAGCAGTTTTCTTACGTTTCCTTACAGAATGAACGATTTCTCAAATATAAATACTGTTTTATTTCACTATTTGATTTGATGACCAATGCTGTAGAACCCCCCCTCCCCCACACACACACCCTCACATATCCACACACATTTTGGGCACACTTCTAGTGTAATGGAATTAAGGAAGATAATTTTTAACCACCCCATGCTATACCCATTTGAACTATTTGCTGATGGATATTATATATTTGAACTATTTGCTGATGCATATTATATATTTGAACTATTTGCTGATGCATATTATATATTTGAACTATTTGCTGATGGATGTTATATATTTGAACTATTAGCTGATGGATGGATGAAATATGCAAGGTTAATGCTTTATTACATTTACTACCAAAAATAAAACTCAGTTTCAAATGAAATATAATTGTTAACATAATGAAAACTAATTTAATTGTGTGCCAGCCAGGAATATCTGTACTAAACACACCTGTATTTGACACATCTGTACTTAACACATCTGTATTTAACTACATAATCATGATTAGTTATTTCATTTGTATTGTTATTGTTATTCTTGACTCGTTATTTGAATTGTTATTGTTATTCTTGACCCCAGAATCAAAGCTCTTAACTACAAGAAATAAACCCGTCCTGAGTTCTTCATTCCGAAGAGTAGCAGATTTAAAGTCTGTACAGACACGATCTGATACACAAGGTAAATAGCCATGGTTGGGGGGGGGGGGGGGGCATTGGTTTTTGCTTAATCAGTAAAAAAAGGTGGGTTTTTTTTTTTTAGTAGGTAATAATAAAAAAAAAAAAAAGTTGAAGTTTTCGGTATAATTAATTCTCTATCCGATTCACTTTTTAACTTCTCTATAGATTAAAGAATAAAGAAATACATAGCATTGAAATATGACTTCGACGTGACGTCCTTGGTATTTCAGAAAATTTCTTTGCCTTTTTGTTATGACGACAGTGTGACGTCCATGGTAATTGAAAGTGGGTGATCGTGACGTCGCGTTGACGTCATCGGTAGGGCAGTTGTTTAAACACTTTTTATTTTTGTAAGTCTCACAACTGCTTTAAATGTAAAGATTCATATTTTTAAGTCTCACAACCCCTTCAAAAGTAACAATTAACAAACCATCAAAAGTAACAATTCATTTTTGTAAGTCTAACAACCCCTTCAAAAGTAACAATTCACATTTTTAAGTCTAACACCCCCTTCATAAGTAACAAGTCATTTTTTTGTAAGTCTAACAACCCCTTTAAAAGTAACAATTCATTTTTGTAAGTCTATCAACCCCTTCAAATGTAACAATTCATTTTTGTAAGTCTAATAACCCCCTTGAAATGTAACAATTCATTTTTGTAAGTCTAACAACCCCTTCAAATGTAACAATTCATTTTTGTAAGTCTAACAACCCCTTCAAATGTAACAATTCATTTTTGTAAGTCTAACAACCCCTTCAAATGTAACAATTCATTTTTGTAAGTCTAACAACCCCTTCAAATGTAACAGTTCATCTTTAAATTTGAAAAAAAAAGTATTCTAAATTTTTATTATTTAAAAAAAATAAATTCAGTGGTAAGATCAGGGTGTCCGAATCTGGAGGGTGGATGTGGCATTTCAAGGTGTGTGCGAAGAATAACATTATATGAACAGGGGATCTTTTGAATACAGAGTATTATGACAAATGTTTTGTTTTTTATTTTCTTCATTGACATTTTATTTCATGTAATAAAAACAGTTGATTTTGTCAGTGCTTAAGTTGATTCAGTCAGTTTTTAAGTTGATTTTGTCAGTTCTTAAGTTGATTTTGTCAGGTCTCAAGTTAATTTAGTCAGTTCTCAAGTTTATTTTGTCAGTCCTTAAGTTGATTATGTCAGTCCTTAAATTGATTTTGTCAGTTCTCCAGTTGACTTTGTCAGTTCTCAAGTTGATTTTGTCAGGTCTTGAGGTGATTTTGTCAATCCTTAAGTTCTCTTTGCTATTTAACTCAAAACAGAAGTTCATTTTCTTTCCAATTTTGACATGATTTGTTAATTTCGTATGGGATGCAAGAATTTGTTAAACAATTTGTTGGAGGTTTGCAAGAATTTTTTTTTAAACAATTTTTTGGAGGTGTGCAAGACTTTATCAATTTGTTGGAGGTGTGCAAGACTTAAGGAAACTATTTCTAGGGGGTGCAGAGTACGGAAAAGGTTGGGAAATCCTGGCAAAGATGACTGTTTAAAAACTAAAGTTGATCAAAATAGTTCACCTATATTAGGTAGTGATAAACAGGAAATGTATTCCAGCTTTCATTTACCAGAAGATATAATTTATAAATATTTTACTTCATATATAGACATTTATAATAATATACTTAATACATAAATTTAGTTTTGCGCTTTCAGACTGAAGGTCATGCTTTATAAGTGTATCATGCCTATATAATTGTAGCTTGTGTCATATGAGTTTAGCATATTTTATATGAGTGTAACATGTTATATAATTGTAACCATTGTTACATAAGTTTAACATATGTTATATAATTGTGGCATCTGTTATATGAGTGTAGCATATGTTATATAATTGTAGCATATGTTATATAATTGTAGCATATGTTATATAATTGTCGCATGTATGTCATATGAGTGTAGCATAGGTTATACAATCGTATTTTATGTCAGGTAAGTGCAGCATATGTTATGAGTGTAGCATAGATCATATGAGTGTAGCATATGTTATTTAATTGTAGTTAATGTCATATGAGTGTAGCATATGTCATATGAGTGTATCATATGTCATATGAGCATAGTGTATGTTATATGAATGTAGCATATGTTATATGAGTGTAGTCTACGTAAAATCAAGTTATCTGACTTATTTGATGTTTCAACTACGAGGTTATTGATCATGACATTTTTAAAAAAAATGAAATATGCACCGGCCTTGTTTGAGATGGCTTCAATCATCAGTGGAGATATTTCATTTAAACAATTAAATATGCACCGGCCTTGTTTGAGATGGCTTCAATCATCAGTGGAGATGTTTCATTTAAACAATTAAATATGCACCGGCCTTGTTTGAGATGGCTTCAATCATCAGTGGAGATGTTTCATTTAAACAATGAAATATGCACCGGCCTTGTTTGAGATGGCTTCAATCATCAGTGGAGATATTTCATTTAAACAATTAAATATGCACCGGCTTTGTTTGAGATGGCTTCAATCATCAATGGAGATATTTCATTTAAACAATTTTGGATACTTTTAATTTTACTTATAAAATGCCAGTTACACTTAAAATGATATTGATGATTATAAACTAAGGCAAAACTTGTGCAAAATATTTAGAAAATAATGTGTGATTGCTTCCCTTCTTCATGTGTGTAACAAAATGTGTGTTTTCTTCCCTTGTTCAGGTACAAGGCGGACGACTCTGATGCTGTTCTCCATCACTTTGATCTACATCCTCTCTTTCCTCCCGCACTTGGTCCTGATGACATTGAAAGCCCTGGGCTTGGATACCCATAAACTACACGGAGAAGCCGGGGAACTGCTGCTCAATCTATTGATAAGATCATATTTTATTAACAGTGCCTCTAATCCCATCATCTACAGCTTCTTCTCCAACAACTTTTTCAAAGAATGCAAGAAATTTCTCATATGTTTTCGTCATAAGCAATGACACTCTGCTCTGACACTCTGAAATAATTCATGGCCACTCAAATTTCCTGAAACAGCACGTTCAAATATGTCAAGAGATAGGCATGGCAATATGTCAAAAGATATGCATGGAAATTTGTCGAAAGATATGCATGGAAATATGTCACACAAGGACAGTAAATCCAGATCTATTAAGGTTGCATGAAGTGGCGTAGGAAATATGTCACACAAGGACAGTAAATCCAGATCTATTAAGGTTGCATGAAGTGGCGTAGGAAGGAGAGGCAATTGAAAGAAAAGCATTGCTGGATGGGCAAGGGGTGTAGGAAGGGCAGGCAAATGAAAGAAAAGCATTGCTGGATGGGCAAGTGGTGTAGGAAGGGGAGGCAATTGAAAAAAAAGCATTGCTGGATGGGCAAGTGGTGTAGGAAGGGGAGGCAATTGAAAGAAAAGCATTGCTGGATGGGCAAGTGGTGTAGGAAGGGGAGGCAATTGAAAGAAAAGCATTGCTGGATGGGCAAGTGGAGTAGGAAGGGGAGCAATTGAAAGAAAAGCTGGATGGGTGTCCCTTGGCAGTTTGACATTTGGGGCCCCCTCATGACATTTTGGGCCCCCCATGACATTTTGCCCCCCCCCCTCAAAAATTATTTCTTAATGTCATATCGGTCATTTTCAATAAAATATTATGTTACATATAATGACCATGTTACGTATATTGACCACCAGCCCTTCTAACACTGCTGGATATAGGCCAATTTATTTATGGATTTTAGCGCCCCCTGAGGCTATCATCCGAAGAGGGGCCCTTCTTCGCACAGCCCTTACCATGGTTCTCTATGTAGTTTGTGCCTAGGGCCCAAAAGGCCTTAATTCAATCATAACATTGAACATTTCTATAAGTATAAGGTGATGTTAATTAGTGCTAAGATAGGGGACTTTTTCTATAAGGTGATGTTAATTAGTGCTAAGATAGGGGACTTTTTCTATAAGGTGATGTTTTAATTGGTGCTAAGACAGGGGACCTTTTCTATAATGTGATGTTTTAATTAGTGCTAAGATATGGGCCCTATACATATTCTTCAGATAAATAGTGAAGTTAATATTTACAAGTAATCCCATTAAAATCAGATGGAAAAATCCAAGTGAAATTAAATTTTTGAATTGTTTATAATATAGATTTTCCATAGCTTTTGTTCAAAGTTTAATTTAGATTGGTATTTTATTTATGTAGCTCATGTAATAAAAAACGAAATTTTGTCTCTCAACCCTGAGCGGGATTCAAACCCTTTCAGCATTTTCTTCTGGATAATGAAGTGTTACAACTATGTTTAATGAAGTGTTACAAATATGTATTAATGATGTGTTACAACAATGTATTAATGAAGTGTTACAACTTTGTATTAATGACGTGTTACAACAATGTATTAATGAAGTGTTTCAACTATGTATTAATGAAGTGTTAAAACTATGTATTAATGAAGTGTTACAACTTTGTATTAATGAAGTGTTTCAACTATGTATTAATGAAGTGTTTCAACTATGTATTAATGAAGTGTTTCAACTATGTATACCAAGTTTGATCATGATCAATTAATCCATGTAGAAACATATGTGGTAGAAATCAAGTCATTATTGTCGCTAAAGGAGTTCATTGTAGGTTGATTTCTACACTAGTGAAATACTTTAGATGTCTTGTGTTCAAATTATTATAATTGTAAAATGCTGTCTTGGTTAAAATGTGTATTTATTTATTTGCTGAAAATGAATATGTACAATGTAATAAAAAAGCATTTCCCTTTTTTTTGGATCAATAAATAATCTTATATTATACTTTCTTATCCGTTACACAATACAAGGACTATTTATCAAGTACAGTTACAATAAAAATAACATAACAAATTTCAAATTAATTTGTAAAATAATTTTCAGTTTTGAAAATACCAAACCTACACCATGGGGTGACACAAAGAAATATGGAAAGTCCCAGAAACCCCAGAAACCCCAGAGACAGTAAGGAGGGGGCTAGTGAACAAAAAATAGTTTGACCATTACGTATGGCATACGACATTTCAATAGAACGTTAGGCGATGGACATACTTGCATTAGCCAGAAATGTTCGGGTCTCATCACCTACTTAAGAAATGACCTCCAAGGAGAGGTTGTGGTAACCTCTAGTGATCAGCTCATAGATATTTAAAAAGAGTGTCTTTGATACCAAGTTAAGAAATACATCTTCGTGGACGGTATTTGACCAACAATTTTTTCTTCTTTTGGTCAATAATTTTGGATAATAGGATAAAGATTTTTAAATTTAAAAGGAAATGAGCAAAATAAAATATGGGAAAATATGAAGAAAAAAAAACTATGCAACAAAAGAATGTGTATATTGATCATGTATTGTCCTAGGTGGTAGGTGAGATCATGTATTGTCCTAGGTGGTAGGTGAGATCATGTATTGTCCTAGGTGGTAGGTGAGATCATGTATTGTCCTAGGTGGTAGGTGAGATCATGTATTGTCCTAGGTGGTAGGTGAGTGTACAAAGGTTCAGCTCAGTTGGAGATCAGGAAGTGGGTGGAAATTGAGATGCAAGATTCCACAACTGACAAACAAAAAATGTACAAACAAATAGACAAAGCAACTTAAGAAAATACTCATAAAAACACCTTTTTATGAATGAGTGACCAAAGTGTTTCAAATCTATGACTTTGTCTCATAATGTTCAAATCTATGACTTTGTCTCATAATGTTCAAATCTATGACTTTGTCTCATAATGTTCAAATCTATGACTTTGTCTCATAATGTTCAAATCTATGACTTTGTCTCATAATGTTCAAATCTATGACTTTGTCTCATAATGTTCAAATCTATGACTTTGTCTCATAATGTTCAAATCTATGACTTTGTCTCATAATGTTCAAATCTATGACTTTGTCTCATAATGTTCAAATCTATGACTTTGTCTCATAATGTTCAAATCTATGACTTTGTCTCATAATGTTCAAATCTATGACTTTGTCTCATAATGTTCAAATCTATGACTTTGTCTCATAATGTTCAAATCTATGACTTTGTCTCATAATGTTCAAATCTATTACTTTGTCCAAAGCATCATGTTGTTCACATAATTATATTTTATTTACTAATTGTTTGCAGTCAATGTTTCCTTCAGGGGGTCTCCTCAAAGCTAGTCAACTGTCCCCTCCCCCCACCCCCGGAAGAAAATGTGTTAAAATAAACCAAAATATAATTTTTAAAAAAAAATTATTATTTAATAAAACCCCAACTAAATTGCAATTTTTGTATACATTTTATTAAGAGTTGTAAATGTTACGCCTACGTTCAAAGTATTGAATTTGGGCAAATGGTGGAAGCAATGAAATAGAAATACGCTCTGTGGTGTAGCTAAGGTTAGAGCCACCGAAGACGGGCGAAGATTTTTGGTGCCAGCTCCCTAAAAAAGATCTGCTGCTGGCTGAAGAGGCTGCCACTCAATAAATAGTGAAAGTAAAAGATTTGTCAGGTGCGGACCACCCCTTCTTTTCTACTAAATTCCTACGCCAGTGAGTACGCTCGAGATTTAGATAGTGTTCAAATATCATTTTTATGCTGGTATTTTATTTCTATATTTTTGCAAAGTCCCTAATTTAAGACATATGAGCATACCAAGTCAAAGTCTTCCATCCCGTTTCAACCATAAACAACACAGACCAATATACATTAACTGAAAAAGATGGTAGATAGCGAAATAGATGTGTTTTTAAATCGGTTTTAAAGGACTCCAGTGTCTGGCTGTTTCTGAGAGCGACTGGAAGGGAGGTTCCAAATTGTTCGAATAATATGGGATTAAACTACCTTTCCATCCCTATGAAATCCTAAATGATTATATTTTGACAAATACATTGGAAATATGATTTCTGTTTCATCTCAAAATGAGATCCACTTCTAAAGTTGGGTAGGGTTTGCATAATGCCATTATGCTCTAAAACATATTTTATTTTCATAATTTTGGCAATTCATGTACAAATTATAAAATGACTATTAAAGATAAATATCTACAAAACAAAATATTTTTCTATTTTTGAATCTGGCTACACTTGGAACTATTTAGGAAAGGTAATAACTATCCTTGCTTTTTGTCATTGCCACTTATTTGTATGAATCTTTTTATTGTTTATTAATGAAGTAGATAACGAAAGAAACTGTTAACATAAAAAATGTATAAATCAATATTGCTATTTAGTAACAACGTACAATATAGTATTAGTATAAACAAAACTAAGGCTATAGACGCCTACATTCTTTTATAACCAAAGTGTTTGTATCAACACAACTATGTCTAGAGACTCCTACATTCTTTTGATTTAAGATCAGTGAGGAATGATACAAAACTAAAATCAGGCAAGCACCAAAATTGATCCCCGCATTTTGGGGTAGAGCTCAATAAAACCCCTCTTCCGACCACTCCCCTTGCTTTCACTAGGGAGCCATCAACGCCCTCGATTTCTGCTTTCCTCTCCCCTAAGTCGATCAATGTGATAATAAGGGGTGAAACTAAGCTGGGGCCTAAAGAATAAATAACCTGAGGTGCGTCACAATGTAGTGAATTCAGGTTATGTATGACACCGGGTACCTTAATGCCTTAGTGCTTTGATAGAAAAGAAGAACCCGAAAACCTGAAATGTCCCCTTCATGGATTAACATTTTTTAGCACCCCTCCCCACTTTCACTCCGGAGCCAAATTCACCATCAATTTCTCCCCACTCCCCTAATCAAAATATTAGAGTTTGCAATCTTTTAGTTACTGAAAGCAACAACAATAAATATTAGCATGTAATTTATGATGAGTTTCTTGAAATGGCAATTATAATTATAGTATTAATAATCTTATTTTCCTTTAACTTTAATTGTGAATGTAATGTAGATTACAATTACAAGGGTGAAACTTAGCTGGGGACAAAAATTTGCCACCCCTTTCCAACATAAAAACTCTTCAGTTATCCGAAAATGCTACCCCTTTATAAAAATAGGGTAAAAAAATCAAAGGACCGCCTCCTGTGCCCCTTCTTACGTCAATGAGCCCCATGCATCGATGCCATTTTCTTTAGTGCAACAAGTGCTCAGTGCTGTATATTTAAATATTAAATGCGAATTTATTATAATGAAATTTCACAGGGGAAGTTACTTTGATTTTAATTTGTATGGACTAAATACAGAAAGCACAGACAGCCACTTAAAAGCTGATGACAGTCCCTCGAGACAAGCTGATTAATAATGCAAACAATCATCTTGTTATGCTATTATTATTATTGATCAGGTATATTGCTTTGAGTACTTGTGTTGCATTTGGTGATTGTGTGTAGGCCTTTACGTATTTAGTAGTAAGCTAGTCTTGGCAATTTCGCCGTGCTTCAGACATACAACTGCTTCAGACGTACAACTGGAGACTGGAGTCTCTAACTTAGAGTCTAAGTGTACGAGTAAGAAGTACTAGGCCCTAGGCTTAGTGAACCTCAAAGATTACTTAGTTCGCGTTTATGGTAAAAGTATTAGTTCCCGACCACCTATTTACTCCACCAGTGGAGATAGTGGTAACTGTAGGTTCAATAATCATTAAACATAACATATTTTGAACTACCGGTACTTGTAGTTGTGGCAAAATTAAGATCTATGACACACACTGCCTGTAACTTTCGGTTTTATACATATTCCCCTTGTCCAATGTGTGTGTGTATGGTTTTGGGGGGGGAGGGGGGGAGGGCATTTGGTTTAGGGGAAAATTGCACTATCACTGATTGTATCAATCAGCGCTGAAATCAGGTATAATGGCTCAGGCTCCCACCTCTCCCCCAGCTTAGTAAACTGAATTCAGTTCTGTTTGGAGCACATGGAGTCTACTTTTGGCCCAAGCTTAGTTTTAACCCTTAAGCCTATGATCATATAGTCCAACTATATATTATCAATAAGTATAATAACCCTTGTAAATGGCAAGCCATCCAGTATGAAGTAATGCATCGCCAACCTATTTATCTTATAAGTTAAGTCTAAGAGTATTAAGCTAAGCATTAAGAGTAATTATCAGTAAAGGGTCTTTCTTTACTTCATTGCACACAAAATATTGTTTTGGTGTCTTTATTCAACTTCATAATATATTGTAGCAAAATAAAAGCAATTTAGACATTTCTATGGTTTTAAAAATGATAAAGATATATTTCGATACATTGTGCACTTTCAAGTTGATTTTTAAAAATATATGTATTATTTTTGGGTGGTCTCTACAGGAATAAACTTTCTTCCAGAAGGCAGTTGAAATTGATTTTAAGATGTGAACACAGAATTTGAGTTTTGAAGTGGAGTCTAGTCTTGATGTGTCAAGTTAACCATCATGGCAAGTTAACCATTATGTTAAGTGGTAAGGGTGATTTTCTTTTTACTAACCAATTGAACCATGCTAAGTTTTGATTGGTTGAGTGTACCATTAATTGGAATATTTTTGGGGACGGGGGTAAATTTAGACACTATTAGGACTATCAACTTTTTATATTACTATTAAAAAGTTTCAGAAAATTATCCTTTTGACTCCTGGAATATCAAAACGTATTTAAAATTGTTATTTGTTAATTTATTATTTTCATTAATTACAAATTTTATATTTCTGATCATAGGATTTAAGAAGATATTTTTTAATTGAATAAATGAAATAAAAGTTCATTACCAGTATAGACTATATTTTGCCAAATCATTAACTCAGCTTTATGGGAACAGTTGCTTATCACAAATTATTGAGACAAAATTAAAACATCATTTCTACTTATTATTTGGTTGGAAGAACACAACACTGACTGCCAATTAGCTTGACCAAACATTTTAACAACTTTTCAAATATAGATTTTATTTTAAATAAAACATTTTAAAAACATATCCTTTCTTTTTTTAACAGTTATTTCTAGAAGGAAATGCAATGATACATGTTGGCAGATATCTATATATGATGTGGGTTCTTGGCTTGGTAATGGACGAGAATGGGTAATTTTAGGTCAGTTTTGATTATACTAAATTTTAAACCTTATTTTATTTTAATTTAAACAATATATTTAAATAGAAACAATATATAATTTTGTCTGTTTTGATAATATTTTATTTATATCTTCAAATGTAATTTTTACAAATTGATTTTTATTTCTAGCTTAAACTATAGATGACAGAATTAACAACCACGCGCTGCTACAAAAATGGATGACCCATCAACAACCACTGTACTAGATTCAATGGATCACCCATCAACAACAACTTTAGATCCAATGGATAATTGACACCATCTGATGTTAGCTTCAATTTTTAATTCTAATTCTCTACAGTTTTTAAGAAGTATGTATATTTCAATTAAAAAAAAAAAATTTAATGAAAAAAACTAAAAAACATTATTGAAAAGCTAAACATCGATTCCTACTTGATAAAAACTTAAACTTTTAACATATATTTATCATAAACCATGTCATGACCGTATCTTAATGGTTGGCTTTATCCCTATTCTTCTAGGTTTGAGAACATCTGAAAAAACTCCAACATAATTTCAATATAACTCTAGATTTTGCTGTGCTGTGTGGAATATTTTCTCATCTTGCTTCTTATTATTTTATGAGCACAAATCTCAAGTAAACAGCCTGATAATATGTTATACAATT